GGGAATGGAAATACCCTAGATGCTATCAACAAAGGTAAGCCCTGCCTCCAATACCTTGGAGAGCTGCACGGGGAATGGAAATACCCTAGATGCTATCAACAAGGGTAAGCCCTGTCTTCAATACCTTGGAGAGCTGCACTGGTCCTGAAGAAGACTTGCCTTCATCCTTCTTCCTTCCCTTTGCCTTCTTTTTGTGACTTCTCTGAAAGTGGATTTTAGAAAAGACAAAGAACAGAAGACAGAACTATTATAGGGCTGAGTCATTTCAAATAATTCACTGTTCAAATATTCACTTTCAAATCAATCAAATATCTGAATGTGCGGTCGCACCGACCAGCAGATTGTTGATGAACAAACCATATACAAAATCAGTTGCAATAACACACAACTGTAGAGGCCCATTATAATTGGTATAATAGCTTCTCGCATTGAAGAGTATCCCTAGCCACGATTTAGCAAACTTTAAGGGACAAACACTACTTTTTGCGCTGTCGAAAGTTTCTATTCCTTTCGAATTTTTCAATGAATAATTTACTTCTTGAATCATAAGATTTCTGTCGCTTTCATTTAAATCTGCTCGAAACAAGCCTCCAAATGCAACTTTTCTCCTTTAAAACAAAAAGAAAATTCTCCCTTCCTTTTTATGAATTTTGCATTTGAATATTCTAATTCAGAAAATAACATTCCGATAATCAATCAAATATTCGGCACAGCTCTTTACACTACAAGCATTAATCTCAAGGCAAAAAGGCAAACAATCTTAAAGGCAAACAGCTTGTATGTTCACTATTTAGAGTCACTATCTGCAGTTTACAGATGTACCTAGAACATGTAAAAGACTCAGAGATTTACTCATTCTTTGATCCAACATTCAAACTTGGTATTTCTTGCACCCATTCACATGAACAACTCATATCACTTGTCCCAAGCTGAACCAAGTGAGGGTGCAATGTCCCCAGCAATGGAGGCTCTTTTGGCAGGAAGTGCACTTCGCTGGTTCATGAACTATGAAATGCAAGCATTACAGTTGCATCACTACCAACAAAATGAACGTTCCCCGTTAACACACTGCTCTTTTCAAATGATAAGGGGTGCTTCTGCTCAAGGTGGATACTATGCAAAGCATGCCCTTTCCCAAGTAACCACCCTTTGCACACTATTTTGCCAATCACTCCACATGATTCAACAACTCTCCCTGAATGCCTGCATTTCTTTTTTCCACGACTTCAGGGTCACAACAAAATGACACACAGATTAACATTAAAAAGTTTCCCTCAGGCCCTCATTATTAAAAATTTAAACCTCTCTGAAAGCCAGTAACAGCCATACATGAAATACTATCTCTGTGAGTTCAAACTCTGTATATACTTAGCATGTGACCTTTTTTCTAACCCTCGTTACAGCCTGTATCCTCCTGAAAGTCTAACTGATCGTTCCTATTTCACCAAACTAGTTTCTGGACTTCATCACCTTGTGCCTCCTTTTAGACTTGGACTCCTTCCTCCTCTTCTTCTTTCTATGTCTCTTTCTCTCTGTCATGCACGTAGATGAGAAACAGGGAAAGATACATGTACACAGGTGTCTTTGATTTTAGGGTTTGCTGAGTGCTGTCACCGTGAGTGGAATGGTAAGAATGATTCTTCATCAGGTCACTGACAGATGTTCCACTCCACAAGGAAAGAAACACTCCACTAGTCACTAAATGAAATTCTTATTTTCATTCGATGCTTGTGGAACCTCCATTAGTTTTAAATAACAACTGAACAAATATTCTTAAAAACTTTATCATAAGGACTACCTGTCATAATCCATTCTCCCTCTACCCTTAAAAACATAAGGGTTTCTCAGTGCATTTCCATCAGTTACTGCTTCAACAAACACCCCTGTCTGTGTAGAAAATTCTCGGCAGATTTGATGGCGTGTTTGATTTGTGTCTTTTCTAGTGCATTCTTCATGCTCGAAGAAAGAGTTTGTAGGAGTATAAAACAAATCACGATGTATGTTCAGCAATCATCGGATGAGGTGGATTTATTCAGGCACTGTGTATTACAACTGATGAAAAGCATACTGTGATGTCACAGAAAAAAAGGACCAAAACATAGACAAAAATACAAAATTCCACCTTCAACATACGCGTACCTAAATGTAGCTCGTCAGAGGGCTTAAAATTCATGAAATAAAACTTAAAATTGGGTCTGATAGACAAAACGTGACGTTCCCATTTTCAATCTGTTAAATAACTTGAGAAATTGGTATGAAGAAGGGATTCTAATTTTACATTACACCTGCGTGTATGGCAGAAGAGCTTTTTATCAGGGTACAAATTATTACCTCTACTTGACGATGAGCTGATGCTTGAGGATGACTCTGATGAAGATCTACTGGGAGAAGAAGAGGACGATGACGATGATGACGAAGTGGAGGAACTACTCGATGAGTAACGCCGTTTGAGCTTCTTTCTGTGCTTATCCCGACCTCTATGTGGAGACGACGCATTGCTGCTGCTGGAACGCCCCCTGTCACGCTTGCCACTGTGCCTTTGGAGGTCCCGACTCCGTGTGGGGGAGACAGTTCTTGGCTTGACTCGGTGATCTTTGCTGTTCATTTCTTGAGAACACGAGGAAGAAGGTGAGGAGCTTGAATGTCTTCTTCGAGATTGCTCTCGATTTTCATGATTGTATGCATCTTTATATAAGAGAAAAAAACAAGTAACTTGAGGTAGGCATATGGGGATTTCATGAAAATCCTTACATGAGCATTTATGTTAAACAAAATGACCATTTTGAGCATGATGAAAGACATTAAATCCCTTTTAAAGAAATTCCTCACTGATATTCTGGGGTGGGCCTTGTGATGAGGGGAGGGTGGATTCCGGAGTGAGATCTTCTGAAAGGCTGAATAAAGTAATCCGAAATAGGGCCTAATTAGCCATACAGGCTACATGTAACTAATGGTTTCCCTTGGCATGGGCCTTGGCGTGCTTGTTTGGCCTTCATGCCTTGGGCCCTTGTTACATTACAGGATGAATGTACAAGTAGGCCAACTAAGATACAATATTACTAACTTAGGCCTACGCCAGTACTTCCGAAAAGTTTAACTCTGTGTCAGCAAACTGCATGGTCATGATGGTCAGTCTTACTTGTAAGCTTATTGTAGAATTCAACTTACAGACTTAAAAGTTAAATAGGCCTAGCATGCCTAGGCCTACATGTACATCATGCATGGCCTAGTATTGTATTTATTTTGAAAAGCGCAAGCTGGCAAGGGAAATAAACAGACATTGACATAGAGAAAAAGCCATAAGCATGATAGAAAATCAACATATTCATTTGTTGCATATACCTTTTTCGCCACCCATATTCAGTCATCTGTTTGTCTGTTTAAAAACCGCGTACCGTACGTACATGTAATACTATTATTACACGTATGTGTATATTATTACAGAAATGATTTTGCTCTGGTTTTACAGTTTTGCTCAAAAAGCGCCCTCAATTGACCAAATGTCATAATTTCGCTCCTTGCGGGNAACCCTCAACTTTCTCGGGCACTTAGGACCACTTTTCAACCGTAGTTTCCAGCCCTTCTGCCCCCATATGAAAGCTCAAAGACCCAGGGAGTTGATTCTGGCAACGATTTACACAATCTCACCATTTTGGGGGCCAAACAATCTCCTTTTTTCAAAAGATACTGTGGGGGGGGCACTTTTAATGCTGATGAGGTGGTCAGAAATTCTCACTTGAATTAGTGGTCTGCACCCTTGCGCGCCCATCGCCCACGGGCGGGGGGCGCCGCCTGGGAATGCCGCTGATGGCTTTGCACCGTGATTGGCAACATTCTGCACGACCTGTCACCAGGAGGTTACTAATATCACTTCCTGCTAGCGAAACATTATTTAAATTTTTCGTTCGCTAATGGCAGTGCTTTGACACGAGCAAAATGTCGGTTATGATAAAAACATGGTCTTAGACATGCATGGAGGTGTGTTCCTTCCTCCATGGTACATGTTCATTGTACAATCACTATGGAGGACGAAAAGTGGCCATCTGCTTTTCTGCTCTCAGAATGGTAGAGAACTGAGTGTATGTTCTGGTAACATGCAATTTCGACTTTTCTACTTTTCTGCCAACTCAAAAAGCACAATGGACAGTGTTTGTTTATGCATATTTCTATTTTTCTGCTTCAAGAAAAGCAGATTTTACTTTTCCCTCATTCGCTGGCGACCGAAAAGCGGCCATCTGCTTTTCTACTTTTGAGCAGGCAGAAATTTGGATCGAACATATGGCCGACAACCGTGAATTCAACTTTTCTCCTTGTGTGATACCGGAAAAGCAGACATTACATAATTACTTATCAGCAAAAGTGGTTTGAAAAACTGAAGGATTGATTTGTCGTTTATTTTCCTTACATTTCACTGGAAAAATCTTCAATAAAGCCATGATTTGTGTTTGTCGGATCTGCAGATGATGAACCCAAATCGTGTGACAAACGATGTGATATGAGTGACAGAATTCCTTTTTAAGGTCCTGAGATGCAACCAAAGTGAGAGGCAGAGAGCTGACGTTTCTGTTTCTGAAGTAATAAACAAGGAAATTCAAAGTCAATGTAATGCAGGAAACTTTGTCTAAATTATACAATTATCCGTTTTCAGTTAAAACCGCCTTTTTTTCATTCAGGAAAGTAGTTGTTAAAATACAAGTTGTTTTTTTTTTTTCATCTGATTTACAAGTGTCTGTGGTAAAATAGCAGTAACTTAATTTGGCTGTTCAGTTATAGCCCTACTCCCAATTTCTGCTCACAATTACACTTCCGCATGCCACATGTCGGTTTTCAATAAATATTATTTCTATATGTGAATGAATTTCAGTGCAATTTTTCCTGTAAGTTTGTAAAATTAAAATTAAGACTTGATTTTATTTTACTGATGAAGTTTTTCAGTGTTGGCTCATAAACCAGAGGGAAAAACACATAGACAGTTTGGACAACATATTTACTGGCAAAGCCTATTGTGGGTCTTGGTGAAAATCTCAAATTTGTGTACACTGATCTGAACAAATCACTATTGAACCGAAGCAAATAGAAAGTATTGCCCAAGCAAGACCGTAGACAACTGGGATGTGAAGAATAAATAAAAACATATACATACACAAAACATGTTAATATTATTGGTTTCAAGTTCGTTACTTAATAAGAACTTGAATGGTCAGTTAATTCTGGAAATGATATTCTCGCATTTTCTATTCATTCTTTTGCTTGTTGTCGGGAGGGGGCGGGGCTGAGGGCACAGCCGCCGTCCCACAAGAAAAAGGTTTTCTCCACAAAATGATCAATTTTGACTAAATACACAGCCGCTCCAACTTCGCATGTACATGACCCTCCTGAAGTGCCGCCATTTTTCGGCCGTGCAGTTTGTGCACGAACAATGCGCGATTTCCTATTGATCAGTTTTTATAATGGAGATCCGTTTTTGATCACAGTCTCAGAGGGCATCATCAAATGTTATTACACGGTCAAGTTGCATTTTGTTGAATAGGGAGACTGTCTGAGGAATTTATGAATCTCCACTATGATTATTATAAAGACATGGAGATCAAAGAGGAGGCCACTCTGGGGGAGCGGGTTAGCGGCGTAGCGGTTCTTTCCTCGCAAGTTTGCATCAATGAGGCCCGGCGGGTTCGAGTCCCGGCTTGGCCCAGGCTTTGAGTGCATTTGGTTTCCAGTCCATACTCGCTCTTGCAAGTTTTCTCCGGGCACTCCGGTTTCCTCTTGCCTCTAAAACTGGACCTTCTTCCTAACTCCATAATGTGATGCAGATTAAGTAAAGTGTATAAATAAACGTACAGTTATTGGCGCAAATGGCCTGTGTTACAACAACAGGAGGCCCCTGTACTTAGATCCCAAGATGGCCGCGCGGTCACTTCAATTCACATACATGATACGTGTACATGTAGGCAGTTAATGCTTGCTTACAACTACATCATACAAGCTTATACCGCTACTTTGAAAATCGTTCGGGTAATAGAGGAATTTAAAAAAGTACACTTTTGGATGTAAACATCATGAAAGACATGGATAGCCGAGGTGTACTGTGCCAAACCATTCAGACAGTTCCCCTCTCGCTTTTCGATTCCCTCACTGCACCGCGGGGAGAAAAATGTTGATGGCCTTTATATGTTTCCGTATACATATCAGAGACCAATGAGGAGAATCTCTTTGCGACACACCTCCATGTTTAGGATACACAAATTATTAGCACGCGTGGCCGGCCTCCTTATGCACGTAAGCACGGTACGCGTATACGGCACATGCACACTAGCTGCATGTGTAAAACTTTTTACAGCTCCATGCTCTAAGCTCCAACTAGTGGTGAACGATCCCGGACGCAATTATATGAAAAACACCAAAAAAGCAGCAGATTTGGTTCTACCAAGACTCATTCTATTAGGGTCTCAAAGGTGGAACGATAAGTGAATTCATCTCCTAAGATGGAAGGGCAAAGCTCATCAGTGCTTCAGATCTCGACGCTGGCTGTCGGCCGTGGTGCTGGAGGACGTGCCGGTACAGCCGGCAGTCATGGCAGTGGCAGTGACGTTGGAGGGCCCCTCCGTGCACCAATTCGTCCTAAGCCGCTTCGCGTTCGGTCACGTAAACTCTCTGGCAAGGATTCATCATTCGCGGAGGAGACCGAGTCTAGGGTATTGGTCTTGTACGCAGGGGGAACCATCGGCATGTACAAAGAAAATGACGGTTAGTTGCGTCATGTTATTGTTGATGAAAGGATTTCTCCCAATGCTAATCATGGCAACAGGCTTAATAAACGAGGCCTTCACAAAAATTCTGCTCAGTTAGCCCATGGAGGAAGGACTAATCCTTTTTTTTTTTCAAGTTAACATTAGTTAACTAGTTGGCCTAGACTAACTTAACGTTATCGTCTACCAGTACTAGACCTTTTTTAGGTCTATATACATTTTCCGGTTTGGCAAAAGCATCAAAACATGATGGGGATGGTATAAAAAAATAATGGAATTAACTCAAGCCTACATAACACATGTAACCATGGTAACACATGCTTGAAATTGTGTGCCATTGCATTTCATACAGATGTGAACAAGCAGGCCTACATGTTCATGTTTGTAAAGATTCATGGACATGCATGTTGAGGTATATACGTTTCGTGAGCAGTTAGAACATATTCATATGTACACCATGTTGAGGATTGTGATGATGGAGATGGTGATGTTTATATGTTGGTCATTTGTTATGGCTTTGTAGTGGTGACTTTGTAATACAGGTGCGTACATGTATGCAGATGCTGCCAATGTTTCCCTGCAATGACTATTTAGCCATCTAAAAGCAATAACGTGACCTAAAAAGCCACATTTAGCAGGCAAAACTTTGAGGTATTCACTTTAGAAAAACTTAATATTTTTCAGACCAGTCTCATATGGAACGTCAGAGAAAGCTGGCCGTACCATTTTGGAGTTAAACTGACTGAACTAAAGTAGTAAATTTTGTTTAGTTTTTCAGTATTTTTTAAACTGAAATAGATTTTCGGGATGTAACTTTGCTTGCAACAAAAGCCAAGTTTTCATTCATGTAGTGCATGTTCCATGTTGTAGTCTATGTGGTGCGTCCCGGGTACTTCCACAAACTGGTGCGAGCGATGCCCATGCTGAATGATGAGGAGTACGCATCCCTACTTGATCCATCTCCTGGAATGGAGGAGAGACCCTTTGCCTTGCCGTAAGTACTGAATACTTGTGCCAACAAATTCTGATTCAAGAGATATCAAGCCCCGGCACCTTTCCTGAGGGGTAGGGGAAGGTCTCTTGAGGGATGAAAAAATAAATGACACTTTCTTGAAGCAATTCCCAGACCTTCTACAATTCAGAACCTGGACAGCTGACCTGATGCATCTGCCATTGAGGAAGGTTTTGAAGGGCATCCTTGGTACACCTGCACGTGCATGTGCGTATGGTGCTCTGTTACTCAGATCGGTGTACATTGTGGACTTGAACAAAGAGATTTACTTCATGCCTTGTCCTGAAAGCTGAACCCTTCTACTTACTTCACAAGAATGCATTGGATAATGGGAAGTGTTACAACCGCTCATATGTAAGTTTGCTTGTCTTTTCAAATTTGTGTGCGCCATGCAGTGACCCTCATGATTTCATTCTACTTTTTCCCCATTTCTAACCTTCAGTCTGGTTGCAGAAAAAAGTCCAGCTGCCGTTCACAAAGGAATCATTCAGATGTCTCCCCAGATTTATTAAATTTTGGAAGTATTTATTGTTTCCCCTGCATGCTTCAGTATATCCCAAGAAGGAGTCCGCGTGATCTACGACATCCATGAGTACAAGGTCCTGAAGGACTCCAGTAATCTCAACATTACCGACTGGGTGGAGATGGCAGAGGACATCAGCCGGTACTACAGGCGATATGACGGCTTTGTCATCCTCCACGGCACAGACACCATGGCGTACACCTCATCGGCGCTATCTTACATGCTGGAGAATCTTGGCAAGCCGGTCATACTGACCGGGGCGCAGGTGCCCCTGCCCGAACTTCGCAGCGACGGACGGGACAATCTGCAAGGAGCTATCTACATTGCCGGCCATTTTGTCATTCCAGAGGTTAGTCATGATAACAAGAGGACCTTTTACATGCAGCCTGTCTGGATTGTCTCTGATTAAATTGTGAGTTTTTTTGGCACTGTGCATCAGAACTTGGCAACTACCGACCGACCATGCTAGGAACAGGCTCCAAATTATGAACCAATTTCATATACGGATTAACTGCAATTTGTCAAGCATTGAATGGGAAAAGTTTTAAACACAGCGTTTGAAGAATTTGCAACATGAAAACCAAACCACAAAAAAGTAAAAATTCATTCGTAATATGTGTTCATAACACAAGGTTGCCAAAATTTATACCACTATCGTAAAGCTACAAGTGCTGCAACTTATCTTACTGCATACGTTATAACCAGTACACTGGTATCATATTGACGCACTGAAAATAGCAAGCCAATTACAAACCATGAAAATTAAATGTATAATTTGTCCATCACTGGTATGGATAATGTCTTAGTTGCTCAAAAAGACAATCACTGGTGCCCATTACATGCTACATGAAAATAGGAACTACATGTACATGTATGATGTTGGCAGGATAAACTGTGCTACAAGTACATGTGCAGCAACTCTGAATTAAAGTCTGTGTTAAGTTAACACATGGATAAACTGACTGTACACGCCCTAATTACAGATAAGGCAAACTTTTCCAGGAGAAGTAAAAATCAGCAATTTTTTAAACAGTATAAGTTTAGATCTGATGGGATTTCAAGCTATTCATGGTGACAGACAACTAAGGTGGAAAGCTTGCAGTAGCACCATGCAAGGATACGATCTCTTTGTGAGTCTGTATGGTTCTGAAAGGCACCATGCAAGGATACGATCTCTTTGTGAGTCTGTATGGTTCTGAACAGTTCTTTTCAGAACCATACAGACTCACAAGGAGATCGTATCCTTGCATGGTGCTAGCGCTAGATTTCCACATAAGTTTAGATCTATCAAATATGGTAGCTTTTTGTATACATACATTTAGCAGAAATGTTACCAACTAAGTATTCCAAGTACAAATATGCATACATGTCCCTGTACATGTACTTGTGTATTTGAATATATTACTTTTCATATCATTCAGGTGGCATTGTACTTCAATGATAAGTTATATCGAGGCAATCGGGTCGTGAAAGTATCCAGTGAAAGCTTTAGCTGTTTTGACTCGCCTAATTTCCCACCACTGGTGAAAATGGCAGTCAACATTGAAGGTAAAGTCCTCATGTTCCGGTATTTACATTACATTTTGAAAAGTGGCCCACCAAAAAGAAAAAAAAAAGCAAAACATTGTGAACCAGTTTAGGGCTCGTGGAGCTGTCAATTTCAGCCTCTGCAATAATTCCTTGTAGCTGGTATAATACCTGACAGCTTCAATATTTCAGTTCCTACCATGTAATACTGTTTTTCCATTAATTTTTGCATGTATACCCAGCTTCCATCTGTATGAAACGTTAATGACATCTCCTGATGTACATGTACATGTATGCATGTACGTGTATTGCAGTTGGTAATCTGTACTGCCATACGGTACCTTGGCTGTTCAGTAGTTTCTTGTTCGCCGGGTGCCTCTCAAACCCTTATCTTCTTGTAAATATTCTGATCTTAGTAACATGTTAGTAGACTAATCAGAGTGGATGACGTTACTGTAGTGGCACCGATTCATTCCGCCTGCATCCATAAGGATGACACACATGTGCATTTTGGCTAAGTCACAAATGTCACTTGCGCCAGCTGCAGGATTGTAAATGCCAATTCCTGGGTGTTTTTGTTTCACAAAAGTTCCTTTCTTGTCTTCTCCAGTGGCTTGGGAGAGCCTCTTCAGACCAAATAGCTTGGAGAGTTTCCGAGTCCATTCCTCCATGGAAAGCCACGTGGGTCTCCTTAGGCTGTTTCCTGGTATCACTAAGGAGGCGGTACGTGCTAAACTGATGATCTAATGCTTTAGTTGCATGGATGTACTATGGGTATGCTTTCCAATGGAGTTTCAAATCCGACTTTCTTGACTCCTTCGAGAGAGCACATGTGTGAACAAAGTTGGATGGCATCACTACGTAGGCTAATTGCCCAGACATAGAGTTATTTTTTTTTTTTCGACATGAATCTTGTACACCTAAACTGTGCTATTAGGCCTATTTGTTGACAAAGTGTGCCGTTTTTTATGTGCACATATGCAGTTTTGAAAGCCTTTAAATTTTCAGTATGGGTTAAGATTTATTAACAACGTAGAATTTAAGCAGAAACAAGAAGAGAGTAACCAATGAAGCACATCAGTAAAATGGCTTTCCATGCTTATTGGCCGCACCTCGCCAGTGATACATGTACCGTGCCGTTCAAAGGCCAATCAAGATTTTAAGTGATTAGTGCATTTAAAATATTTTTAACAACACATTCTCTTCCCAAACCCCCTTTCTCCATCATCCATTCACCAATTTACACCTTAGATTTTCCTTTTCCGTCATCGAAACCTTACAGGTTCAGGCTTTCCTAAATCCCCCCATGAGGGGAGTGGTCATGCAGACGTTTGGGGCAGGGAATGGCCCGGACGATCGTAAGGACCTGATTGAGGTCGTCCGGGAAGCCACAGGGCGAGGCATGCTGATTATCAATTGCACACAGTGTGCTAGGGGCACGGTGTCACCATTCTATCGCACCGGAAAGGTCAGTTTGTTATAATCATGAATACATACGCTTCCAAACTCATGTTCCGCTCTCTAAATTCCTTTAATCTTGAAATGCTTTCTTCTTTCACCCGTCTCTCTGTTGTTCTTGATTGTCTACAGCCTGATGATTTAGTCCTTTTCCATGGAATTTTGATGAATAACTTTGATTTTACATTCATAAATACCTAAGACAGCTTGGCTATTCCCATTGGTTTAGAGCCTGTCATGTGGCCTGTCATCAACACTAGCTCGCTGTATGTCAACTCAAGGTGCACGTATGTAACACATGGCCTCCAATCTCCATATCAGCAGACTATCTGCGACTGCTCACAAGAAAAGCAATCCATAGCATGGCAGGGGAGCTGTAAAAAACGAAATGTGTTATTTTTAAAACTTGCTTTGACCTTGTGACTCGAAAGTAAAGTCATGTTTGGGAATAGATACTAAAGATATATCCAAAATGTAAGACATGTACATGGCTGTTGCTTTTGCTACATGTGGTGAGCATTGGTGGATACCAGCCTAATACACAGGTGCCTTTGTTTCTCCTCATCTGCAGCATCAGTATTCACCATAGGAGAGTCCTATTGACGGTTGGATGATCCCAGCTCGTTATAACAGTTGCTAATTTTCCCATGAGCTGGCCTTGCAGTGCTTAGGGGGTGTTGTCCCAACTATTCGGCCAGTGCTCTACCTGGGACACATCACTCTTACAAGATTCAGCGATAAAGCAAGAAATTTGCAAAAAAAGTTCTTGCATAACTTAATTCTATTTGTACCAAGATAATGTCCGTTCTGCCAACCCTAAACCTGGATAAGAACGAGTACGTGCACATGTACATACATAAAGTGGAAGAACATGCATCACGTACACATACTTATATGTATTACAAGAGAATGCCATCAAGGATTATCCCTGAGCTAGGATGTTAAACAAACATGCTAGAAATGCACGAGAGAAAACACCTGACATTTTGTCAGAAACTATGTACACGTGCATGTTTACCCGGTGAATAATTATGTCACTACATGCAGTGAATACATACATGCATATCAGTTTCTGTGATTTTGTTTTGTTTTACATAAGGTTATTGCTGACGCACATGTGTAGGTCAGATTGAGTGCCTTGTTAAAGCAATTTCCCCTAAACGTCAAAGGTGCAACGTCTTTAAATTTGACGTGCACAGAACTTTGTCTGTGACACTGCCCCAGTTTAAAAGCATACCCTGCTTCACTGAATGTTACCTCTGGAAATGTGCACACAAGTTAAACACGCTGAAGTCAAAATTTGAGCTCGATAAATGACATATTAAACCAGTTCCGTGAACATGTTGGAAATTGTGCAGTAATGTATTTCAGATGGCAGATTCAAAAGATTTGAAACGGGCACATTCATGAACTCTTTTCTGTGCTGTGAACCTGTTACAGTCGCTGCTTGAAGCAGGTGTCATTCCTGGTGGTGACATTACGCCAGAGGCGGCCCTGACCAAGCTCTGCTACATCCTGGGCAAAGAGGAGCTGTCCCAGGAGGAGAAGCTGGCAAGGCTACGCTGCAACCTGCGAGGCGAGATCAAATTGGGAGGCCGGCACAAAGACAGCATGACGCTGAAGGACAGCGAATTCATCCGGGCAGTGGTGGACACTCTAAATGTCACCAGTAGTCAGGTTGGTCAAAATAAAGTTCTAACGTTCAAAATTCAAAAGTCACTTTTACTATTTGTGCCTGGTGAAACTTTCACTATTTGAATGCTTATCATGCATGTGTGCATGAAGAGGGAAAAATATGAGTGGTCAGTACCATATAAAATGACTACATTTTTAAGCTTGGGAAGTTTAATACATGGCATCTCTTTGACTACAGATGCATCACTTCTAACAGGACACACACTGGCCAATTCTGTGTGGTGGAGGAGAAATGCTGTGAAAATCACATGGGAATGCTTTTTGCTGGGTCTCGGTGTACTGTCCATGAGCAAGACACTTTACCTCATTATCCAGGAAATTTATGTGACCAAAAGAGCTTAACCACTTCCTGCTGGGGCAGTTATCAATGATGGTGCTTGGCGGGGACATTTATCAATTTTTTCTGTTTTCAAAATTCTTTAAAAATTCCTATCTTCATTTACTGGACACTTACAAACACGTGAAGGACTGTCTGGTGTTCACTCTAGCCTGACAGACAAAATTTTGATGCCTGAGTATTTCAGCCAGGCCTACAGCCTTGCAGAAAGGGCCCAGATTGTGCGGTGTCATATTATATACCACTTGAGGGAATCTTGGGGGGAAGGAAGCTCTCTATGAAAGAGACTCTGTTATGTTGATTCAGGAAGTGAAAGCTGTACAAGATGCCCTCTTCCCTCCGCTGATGTGTGCTGCAGCAAAAAATGGAGACTTAGCATCACTCAAATATTACAGGGAATGTGTAAGTAGGAAATCACCAGATATCATTGTTTCTTCATCTTTCCTTGTTCTAATCGCTCATTTTTTCATCCATCTGTTTTGTTGTTGGTTTATTTTTTATAAACAACTGGTGAAAGTTTGCAATAGCTTCGGCAAAATAGGGTGTCTATAATGTGGTGCGGTGCCCAGAAACTGCTATATTCTCTTTCCAGCACAGCTAGAGTTGAACACTGTATTCTGAGGTCTCAGTGGTTCATTATTCACCAGATTGACATTTAGGCTGTGAATTCAGCCTGTAATCTTTGTTCCCTGTTGCAGCCAGCTGGTGTCAGGGACTTCAGCAGGGCGTGACTTCACGGGCTTACGGTTTGCAATTTTATTAGGATGACAAGAGGTTTGTGACCGGCTCTGGAAAATTGGGAAATAAGTCACCAGATTCAGGTTATGAGTTTTTGATATGGCTGGATTCTGTACATCAAAAGCTACAATTTGATATATGAATGACCCATGTAGTGCACTTCATTCCGGAGATGTATATTTATAGATATATATACATATTTGGATTCAATAAAAGCACTTTTCAAGAAAAAGCTCATAAAGTGTAGCACTTGGAAACACAATGCTATGTAGGATTTCCTACTGAATGATCAGTTTTTCATCTTTATTCATCAGTATAAGTGCTTGTTGTCACAAATTCTGAAAGTATCAATGTTATAGAAGCTATTAAAGGAAAAAACCCAAAATCACATATTTGAAGAAATTTTACCCTCTCCAAATAAAACAGGCCATACCATGTTTTGGCATTGTGCGACTCATTACCCTTTTTTGCAGAGCGGGTCACATATATAAGCAGGCCCAATCGAAACAGGTGCATGCATTCAGTTTCAGTCAAATTTGTTTCTATCTCATGGGTGGGAAGTTTGGAGAGAAAGGCATATTTCTTTGTTTATCTTGTTATATTCCCTTTAATTTAAATCACCCAACAAAGGGAGGTGACCTGAGTCTTGCAGACTACGATGGGCGAACACCACTTCATTTGGCGGCTGGCACTAAAAATGTCAAAGTTGTGGAATACCTGCTGGAAAGAGGTTGCTCGATCTATGTCAAGGACTCATTTGGAAATTCACCTTTCTTTGACAGCATTAGAACAAAGTAAGTGTGGATAATTGCCAAAAAGTCAGTGGTGTGTCCTTTACCCCTGTGTACTGTATCAACTCCTTTGTTAAGTCTCCTTCAAATTTTACCATCTTTCCCTTTCATTTCTCGCCAAAAGGAATGATCATCTTGAACAGGGACATGTACGTTTTCCCCCGATTGGTGGATTGACATGCTTCATATTTTCCCTTTATGTGCAGTTACCAAAAAAAAAAAACATTTAAATTTACGAACGTTCATTTCATTCTGCCAGGAATCTTGAGGTCATAAAGCTGATTAAGAAGACAGGCGGTCACCTCATTCATACCAGTCATCAACATGAACTTGGCACAATTCTTTGCCAGTAAGTCATTTAAATTGAATGCAGATGAAACACCAGCTCTGTATCCGTAGTCACAAGACGGACGAGTCATGCACATACATGACCAAGAACTGGAGGTCTTCATTTACAAGCAACAAAGTTTAGTACATGCTCTGAGAAGTTTTATGACATGAAACAGAGTTATATTTGTTGACCTTTAGCTTGAAAATCTTTTCTAGAGAATTTAAATGCAGCATAGCAGAATGGATGGGGTTGGACATTCAACATCTCTCTTGTGATCCTTTCCCAAAAATGTGGGGGGGGGAGGAAAAGATGGCTGAAGTTAATGTTACCCTTTGAATTCACGCTGGTTTCACTGCTTACTGCCAGAAATGGACTTATTTTATAACATGGTAATTTGCATACATGGACGATGTTTACAAAAAAATTCTGCAATAGTATCAAACATCATCTGGCTCCCAACCCCTTTTCAATTTTAAAAACAAATCAAAGAAATTAAACAATGATATATTAAAGAAAATCATCAGTCCTTATGGGTACTTAGCAGGTTTCAAACTTGCCATCAAAGTGAGAAATCGTAGTTGCACTTTCTCATGTGAGCTTTGTACATGTACATGTATGTCCAATCAAAATCTGTCGTTTGTAACAAAATTGACTGTGCTGGTATGTTTTATCTGACCAGATTTTTGGCCTGTTATGCTCCATGCCATTGTTTCCATAAAAGTGCCAAAATTCACTCCCTAAATCACAGCCACAAATCACATAATTGAATTCAGTTCTAGACTACTACATCAAACATGTCAAAAACGCAAGACATCCAGATACCTGGAAAATGTCCACCTGTTTACACAGGGAACTACTCTTTTTACTCTTTTTTTTTAAGAAAAGTTTAAATTTGACAAACCTCTCTGTGTTGATGAAAGGTACACATACTCTACATGTGTATATGGAAAATTCCAGAAATTAGGGGTCCATTTTTGCGTGTCCCTGTCACATCTGGCATGTGATTTTGTAAGTTCAGAACCGACACATTTGCTAATTTCCAAGAGTGAGGAATTAATGCAAATTACCTGCAAAAAGAAAATGGTAATAGTTTGAAATCAATTCAGTGATATTTCCATGTCAAATAACAAAGGTCATCAGATGTAACAGGGACACAAAAATGTCACACTGTTGGACCCCTAATCTGGAATTACCCATATAGACCAGATTGAGCACATTGTGCCATACACTCACTATAAAGCCCTCAGATAATGGCTACAGTGTCCTGCTGCGTGATTTTTAGCAGAACCACCGAGAGTCAATTGTTTTACAGAGTACTTTGTAAGGTGCATTTACATATTGTGTGGGGAAAAGGATTCATAACCTACTGATGTAAATGTGGATACCTAGACACCTGCAAGAGAAAGCTTACCCCAAATGTCAAAGGAACAGAAGAAACTATGTGAAAAATTGCATTCAAACTCCCTTGTGTCTCTTCCAAACATTACTTAAGTTTTGCTTTGTCTGCAATGTTACTGAGTCATTTGGACAGTTGCTTATAAAATGTTACCATTCCCATGATTAAGAATGGGTTCCTGATATCAACAGTCTGGTACCCCGGAACCTAGTTTGGATTCCTTGTCATAATGCGGTCACTGCAAACTTGTACAACTGTCTTATACTCGCAGTTCCCCCAATATGTTCTCATCAACCTTGTTTTCTTTCTTGTTTTAACTATCAGTGCAGCTGCATTGGATGACAGGGATATGCTGGAAGCTTTTTTCGCAGCTGGGGAAGATATGAATGCCAAGGACTACTGTGGGAATACCCCACTTCATATGGTAAGTGCTGATAGTGAGGTAGAGGTTGTTTGCTGCTTCACGGGTTTGACAAACTAACATATCCAAGTTTTGGGTCCATGTGGGGAGAAGAACGAGATTTTTTTTAAACTAATAGTCCATGTTCTTTTATTTGCAAAAGGATCTTCACCCCATCTGAAAAAATTGGCGACATTCGGGAGGGGGGGTTGTAACTGTCCCCCTGCTGCATATGCCATTGCCAACCAAACCATCCTTGGTTGATCCCTGGTTAAAGGTTGAGAGTTTCTTTCTTTTTTTTCGGTTTCAAAGTCAACAGTAAGAGGAGCACGATTTTTGAGACAAGGTTATTTCCTTTTCTCCAAAAAGTGCTTTAAAACCTCCCAATCTTCAGCCTCACCCCTCCATGAACGCATGAACTCTCGAATTTTGCAGCCCCCTCCCTTAAGCCTAACCATGCTGAACCCAACAAGGTTATGCAGGATTTCAATGGTCCCTAGGGGGTTAGGGTTAGGAAAAGTCCTGGATATGCTTTGCAAACCTTGATTGATGATATTTTCTTCGTGACATCCTTCACGGACACAGGGGTCTACAGTGGGAGAAGGTTGTATAGTCTTACTTCAATGATGCCTTACATACATGTGCTTACATGTACCCTTCGCCAGTTCCTCAGATATTGACGAATCCCTTATTTACATGAAAAGAATAGCATTGGTTGGCAAGCATCATGTACTGTGCCATATGCATTTATGTGGGCTTTTCTGTAGGCGCATAGTGTGTCTGCTCAGGGAGGTGGCACCACTGGTTATATTTATTTTGTAAACTCACCATGGACTCTTTAACAGTTCCAGTGAGGTGGCAGGTCTCTGCCTTCCTCTCCAGCAAGAATGCTGACAGGTTCATTGCACGTAAATTTATCCTCGGTTTCCAGGCTGTGCTGAAGAACAGCAAGGAATGCATTGACTTCCTGCTGGAGGCCGGAGCCGATCCAAGCTTGAAGGACCACTGCAACAACACGGCCCTTAGAATCGCCGAGGAGAAAGGTTTAGAGGGAGTGGTCCACCGTCTGGAGAAAGTAACGGTCAGTTAAAGGAACAGTGGCCCGTCTTCAGAACCCAGTCACTGAATGGCTGGAACTGTACTACACGCTACTGTAGGAACCTTGGTGGTGAAATGCACGTGACACATTAGTTAACTACATGTAAATTCTAGTCCATTACATAGCGGATTGGGGTTTAGTTAGCCAGTGTGTTAAAGGGTTACGGAAATAGAAAGCATTTAGTTCACGTAAAGTATTTCCGAAAAACAATAAATATGTAGCCATTTCAAAAACTTCATAAAATTAATGTTTACCCCATTAATTGAGACCTCAAAATAAATGAAAGATCCTGCGTGTCCCTGCCCACAAAAAAATTCCCTTTTGGCCATTCGCACTCCTAGGCTGATTTGATGATGTCATCGCCAGAACACCGATACGCACAGCACATATGGTTACGTATTTATTGCTATTTTTAAATACTTCACGCTAACTAAACGCTTTCTTTTTCTGTAACCCTTTAAAGTGTCAAGCCACATAAAGGTTGCTCAACATGGAGCACGATGTGATGTATCCTGGGGGCAGGGGGCATGGAGACATATTTCCACTTTATTCTTCCATCTTTGAGGGAATAGAAATTGCCAACACTCCGGCAATGTTACCAATACCTTCCTAAACTAGGTGGAGGAAAGGGGTTGTCATCTGTAATGGATGAAGCATTCAGTAGAGAAATTTATTTTGCTCCCGGCTGCCCCTCCAATTCAACACCTGGACACGCCTCCAGCAGTGTGGACGTACTGATGTTAACGGCTGCTGTTGGTGAAGATTTTTGTGACTGGAAAAGACTCATTTGGTCAGTCCTTAGTCACAATTCATTAATCTCCGTACACTCTATTACACATATATGTTGCCTAGAGCTTGTGGGAAAATTCCCACAGAAATGTGTGTTGGCAAAGACAAACCAAATATCGAAGGAAATACCAAATACTAGCAATATGGGACAAACATGTTGCATAAAAGTGTGTTTATGGAATTTATTTAACCTTGTACTTCCTACTCAGGGTCTTGAACTCAGGGTCTGTAGTCAAACTTAAGTGAATTTTGACACTAGTATGATAAATTAGTGGCTTTTAGGTGAGACATACACCAGTGCTTAATGGGGGAGATAATGTACAGGTGATAATGGTATTGAACAAATCAAAGACGAGAAAGTGCATTGTGTTCTCTCTGATCACTTTCAGTATTATTATTAATCTCAAACTAATGATATACTCCACGTCACATTAATTGTGATCATGATACATTTGTTAAAATGACTATAAAATTCATGCACAAATGCTGTGCGGTGATGCTGTCTTGTAAAACTCACCGTTCACTTTCCTCACTTCCACATAAGGCTTGAAGCAGAACGTTTCAATATCTGCTGGAAATTTATTCCATCTGTCTCTTTCTAGTAAGCACTAAGCTGTTTCTTGCCCTTTTTTGTGGCATTGAGATTCGGGCTTTTCTTTTTCAAATTTTAGAAACTTCAAATTTTACATTCTTCCTTACACACATGTATGTGTTGACGAGACTACTTGATGTTCATATGGTGTATTACTAGGGAAAAAATTACTGGAAATCAGCTGCGACTTTTAACTCTGGTGATTAAGAGGGAAAAAAGAAGAGTTATTCGCGATATCAAAAGGAATATAATTACTCTCATTTTTCCAGTCATCTGGGTACTTCTTCCAGTAATTATACAATACAAAAATTTGTGGTACATGGAGGCGTAACATGATTAAAAATTAACAGTAACACCGGTCTAACTTTAACACATTTACGTGGGTGTGTGAATTTTATGCAGAAAGCCGCTGAATAACTATCTTTTTATTTCGTAAGGTGTGTTAACACTCATGTCAAAATGATCCCAAAGACAAAATCTTTATAGTAGAAAGGATTGGACGTTAGATTTGATTAGCAGAATTAGATTGGACGTTAAGCAATTAATTTTGTGTGCTTGATCGATGAACCTTAAAAAAGGCAGTGAAACCTGAAATCATGTTAGAAGAGAGGGAATCTGTCCCTTACTATTGATGCTATCAGAAGAGCTTACAAAGAAATGAGGTACTTTGTTAAAATTTGGTGTTATCACTGTTAAATGATTATGTTCATGAAGTGGAATGAGAAGACTTATAGACTTAGACACGTCTGTGCTTAGGCCGTGTCCGAAGCGGGCTTCCAAAGCTACGGCTAGGTCTATTGTCTACGCGTCTCCCCTCATTTCTAATGGAGTGAAGACCTAGACCTAGCTCTAGACAAGAGATTCGGATGCAGCCTTAGCCTTTCAAGGTCAAAGACCTTTTACATATGACAGCATGATGAGAGCATTAGACTGATCATCAGTTTGCATGATCTTGGTATACTGATAAGCAACTTCTTGTTCCCTATATTCAGCACTTTATTATTTGCTTTCTGTTTATCGACGGAGAATGCTAAATTTCTGCCTGTTTTTCGTAATCATACTGTGGTTGGATTGAAATAGGATGGATCAAGGAATCATTAGGAATGTATTTGTCTCCTCATTCATTGCTTAACCATATTGAATATCAGTTATGCCCTGAGATATAGATATTCGTCATTGACAATACTGTAAGGCTTTGCAGTGGTTTATTGATACATGTTATAGATACTGAAACAAAGTTACTTCAATTTATCAGTGTTTTAATTCTAGGTCATACACAATATTTTAAATATTCGCTGACTTTCTGAATAATGTCATGTTTTCTTGAGAAGGATTTTATTTTTGGTCTTAAATGTGTAGGGTTTTTTAACATGAGAATGTAGCTGAAATAGCAGACTCTTTTAACTGAGGTGGGAAAGGTTGGTGGCTGGATTTGCGTTAACATTGTAGGTACTGTTAGCAGTTGAAAGCTTGTTGCGAGGTTTCGGGCTTTGGATTTTTTATTTGATAGTGGCCGGATTGCTTAACGGATTATTGAACTATTTCCACGTATATTGGATATCATGCTCAGTGTTTCAATGCCATAGTTGTAAGTAAATAAAGCTTGATTAAATTTAACTGGGTGGGTTTATTCAATGTGTTGTTAATGAAAGTATTAGTTGAACCCACTGACCTTATTTTTTTCTTACAGAATTAATGGAAGTTAAAAATAATTAAAATGCAGGAAGCCTTCAATTAACCACTCTAGTTGTTGACAGTTTTGTATTTGTCTGTTTTTAGGCCGTTCAGTTTGTTTTTAATTCACGTAAATTCTGTGATTTTTTATTCGTGCAAAGTGCTTTGAGCACCTTTATGGTGAATATGTTTTGCGCTTTATAAATGTCCATGTTGAAAATATCAAAGGCAGGTTGGGCCAAAAATCCCCTGCAAGAGCATATCCGTGGGGTTTAGTGTTGATGGTGATCAAGCCTTATCCCAGGAATGCCAAGAGCTGGTAGCGTCATCCCTGTCTTCATTCCTCTCAAATTTGGCTGTATGTCGGTTGTGATGCACCAACTCCCATCGCTTCATCCAGGGACCCATTATGGTGGTGTCGAATTCGTCGTCTGCCTTTGTGTCACGGCTCACGCCCAGTTCTTTCTGCTGCAGGAACAGGAATTGTATACACCAGCCAAAGGCCCATGGGGTTAGGGTATAAACTCATGGCAAATTTAACTGAAGTTCTTTCTTTACTGGCGTTGTGTGAGTTTTATGTAGTTTTTAGTTTCGAACTTAAGAATAGTGCTGGAAGCGCGTTTTCTCGCATCTATTCATCATCAGATCTATATAGAGAATGCCATGACACAAACAGAGAAGGAAGGCAATTTCTGTTGCGAAATGTAAAAGAGAATAGGCCTATGCTATTTGTTGTGATTTTTCGTTTTCCCTTCTGAAAGCCTGTGAAAAGCCTCAAGAAAGGCCCCCCAAAACTAGGTAATGATGCATACAGAAACCCCCCAATACCCTTTTAGCATAATTTAGAAATAAGTTTCGGGCGTGTTTGACAATTTTACTAGAAAAAATATCTATGAAATTTGTGTCTGTAAATTTGGGTCAAATTTACCAACTGTCAGGTTTTCCTTTGCGTGTAGGTAGTAGGCATATAATATTTCATCAAGGTTAGGCTAATGTGTTGACTTGTTATGTCGCTCAAACTTTGCTCATATTGCGTTATCATGAGCATGCTGATACCGTTCCTCTCTATTTTACAATGCCAAAGGGTCATGAAACGACATGAGAGGACACGTGTTTCTTTCTCTTTTTTTGCAGGAATATGCTTCAGAATTTAACTTTGATAGCACCTTGTTTTGTGGCTTTATTGCGTTTAAGAAGAACTAATTTCGGCGGCATGCGGCCCGTATTATTTGTGACTCACCTGTTCGTGCTTTTTTAAAATTTCTTGATAAGGGAGATGCTATTGTATGCATCCTGATTCTGGGGGACTAGAAGGACATTTATATTGAAAACTTGGGACCCTGTAGCCTACCTCTGTTCCTAGCATCGAATCCACAGCCTTGATGTGCCTATCAACTTTATTGAAGGATTCGAAGTCTATCGTATAATTAGGATCCTTCGATGTGCGCATGAGCACGCTGTCCTTGATGCCATAGAAACCGTTAGGCTTATCTGGCCTCTGCCAACGAAGGTCGAGGCTCCAACGGATTTTGTCAGAGTAGTTCTCCAAGCTGAGAAGACGAGGGAAAAGTTAATTTGGTTTGCATCTAAACCATCTAGTCACTCAACTGAGACCCTGAATTGTCAAACTTGCTGTTGCGTAATGTCCCCATTCAGATAGGCCAAGTTAGTGTTTTTCTAAACACACACGCGAGATTACGCATATATGGTTTCCAATGGCCGAGTGGTTAAGGTGGCTGTTGAAAGACGAAGAGTTCAAGGTTCGAATCCCGGTGTTTTCCTTTTGATTTTTCAGTGGACGGCTCTGGTCACAAGGTATAAAGTATTAAATTTTCCATTCTAAAATACCAACAGTATCTTAGCCAATTGGGTAAGCTCTTCTGCTGGGACTGTCCGCGAAGTCCAGGTGAGCGCCTTAGTACAGGTTCGAGATGTATGGCCAACTCGGCGGCCAGGGCTTAGGGGCTTGTCTCGTTTCCTCCCTTGCATGGCCGCTCGAACCCTTTTGGGTTAAATGGATGGGCAGGGGGGAAGTGTGGTGGGCCGAGAACCCAGAAGAGTCCTATATGGAAGCCGGTAACTGCGATTCGTAGCGAATTTCAGGAGTCCGTGCGCCTGAATGCTTGGTCAACACCGCATAACTTTTGGATTTTCCCCCCTCTCCAGCACCTGCTTTTTATTTTCGGTGGCTGAAGAGAACTTCTCAACGCATAAAAAGAGCGATTATATGTATAGGCCCATCATAAGTGCATGCGAAATTATTTTGAAACAAGTGGACTATATCGCCGGACGACATTACTGGACATAGTATAGCCATCGTAATTTGCAAAATAAATTCGTCACTGTCTGCACTTTTCTGTTTTAGAGAAAGGCTCCGATTTGGAAATTTAAAAAGGTTAATTCCAACCAACGAAATATGAAAATAAGTGCATGAACTTGGGAATGATATGTATGTTTCAGCTGCACGCGCGTCAGTTGGTTACAACTTAACACTGTGCTCTGTTCCGACTATACATGCCACCTATTCATTAGGAAAAAGTAAGGTGCAAAAGTTCGTTTTGATGGGATATATTTTCGAAATTTGTCTCCATTTTGAGATATATTTTTCAAATTTGTTTCCACGGGACAGAATTTTCCAATGTTCGTTGTTATGAAATGTCTTTTCCAAGCTTGTTTTACATGTATGACATATATTTTTAATAAACAAAAGAAATTCCATTTAACTCCATTTAGATTCGTTTACGAGATGTTTTGGGGATATTGAGATCACTCGCTTTTTGTATCAGGCCGCCAGATATATTCATATCATAAAAATGAAGTTGAAGAAAATGTATTGTGAAAACTTTTTTCCAAAGATAGAAACAATGTTTCTAAAAATAGAGCTCGTAAAAAAGAACTTAAAAATACATCTCGTGAAAACAAACTTTGGAGAAACATAAATACCCCACTTTTGATAATTCATATTTGGTGCTAATACATTGGTGCTACGGGCCTTAGTAACTTACTTTTAGTTACTGAGAAAGTATGACGGTCGCCAGGCAGTGTAAGGTGTGAGATATGATGTAAACTATTAATTTATTAATTAATTAATGTCTCAAAAAGATGGCATCTGACATATCGTAACAGACATGTCTCACTTCCGGTGACGCCTGTGAATTTATAATCATTAAAAATTGTCTTGTCTTCGTGAAGGCTTTGTATAATGTTAAATTGTATAACTATATAGCATGTTCTCTGATCAGCAGGCTACGGCGGGACAGATTTGGGAGCCTCACGTACGGTTCTGACGATTTATATATTGGTTAGAATGCTGATGAGCAATCGATATACCGTTAAAGGTTAGAGTAACAATTTGGAAATAAATGGGTATACCCGATAGGTTTTGAGACACGAAAATTCAACTCATTGATGGATACTGTTGATCGATTTGATCGATGAAGTGGTCTTTTCCGTTTCCCATCACCCAAATTTCTATTAATAGCCGTGTGGTTTTACGGTCCATTTTGTCATTCCAATTTTGCTTTGCCTTAGGTTCCTAATTTTTCTTACAAAATCTACAGCCCGTTGCCGCGTTCTGCCACTTCACACCCCTACAGTTTGATAGCACGCTCTCCGCCACGCCCCGAGCAGCAAAAAGAAAGGGCGCAATTTTAGCTGCAATGGATGCTCAGTTGGAAATGCACTTCGATGCAAGTGTTGATTGAACGTGTTGCTAGGGAGTAAAAAAAAGGTCGGAGTTGCCAGCGGGGTAGTGTAGAGAAAGCTTAAGGTGGAGGCTTACGTAGAGGGATCAAAACAAACCTCTGATGCGGTATAGCATTGTTCATGAGCAGAACTCCTCCATACGGCATTTCCACGGTAACCGCATCCTTGACATCTACACCGAGGGAAGTCATCATATCACTGGTGTCCTTGATTTGCACATACCAAGTTCCTCCCACGCAGCAGGTGTGGGTGGCTGTGACGCCCTTCCGATGTCCACGAGGTATGACCTGGGCCAACACACAGTCCAGGTTACCGTTGGAGAAAAGTGAGACCATAGCACGAATGAGTGGCACGAGAGAAAATTGACCTTTTTAAAATACATAGAAAGAAATGAGGTCGGCGAGACGGTTTTATTGCCGTATATCAGTCTTTGCGATTTTCATGCACACAGATCGGATGGGGGATATTCTGAATTGCTTCTATCCACAGATGCATTGGATAATGATCCTGGTTCGGATGTACAGGCCGGTGCATACGTCACGCGAATACGAAAGAGAAGCGAGGTGAAAGATTTGCTGCTAAATTATTGTGTTTGAGTTGAAATGTGGTCAACTTTCCCGACTTCGCAGCGCGAATAAATTTTGACATGCCCTCACAAACTCGCGTTTCTGTTCGCTTTTGCACCAAGTCAGCTGGTCTTCACGCACGCTGCGATCTCTGTTTCGATGCTTCAGAGGGATTTTACCACTAAGATACCCACCGCCGTGCATTGTTGCTGAACTGTTGAATAAAATTCCGTATCTGATTATTATGATGGTGTATGCTGCACCTGGCATAACATGATCTGGACAAAATCACATTTCCTTGCAGCATCACCACGTGTCACTTAAAAAACCCCAGTGAAACAGAGTGCTTATAAAGCGTTACTTAATAGCCGAGCCTTGCATGGCAAGAAGAAACAGATTTCCCCCAGGGTTAAAAGGACAGGTTACTCTTCCTCAGACTGAAGGGAACCCTCCACTCCATTTTCGCAATTGTCCATGCGGGACTTCGGGTATACTCTTTAAGGTAGTAACTAAGTTTCCCGATCCATCTCTTGACAACAGAGTGTTGTTTCAAAACATCACTTGTACATCGGAATTATTTGACGTGCATACGCAAGAGAGATGCGGATGGCCAATACGGGGGTCTGTGGGATCACTGGACACGTGCCAACTCCCTTTGAACCGAAATTACCTGCAGGCATCCATTTTCTTTTTGGACATCCAACATTGGTATCCACGCAGTGGGCTGCAGCACATGAAGAGCTTCAGGATCCAAGTACGCATTATCTGGTAAAAAACTCAATTTACTCATAGTACATAATACTTCAGGATGGTAATGAGCAGAAGCCTTAATCCTTTAGGATGAGAGCCCCGATTTGTTGACCGAAGTAGTTACCCCCTTCCCATTGGTGTAAAACGTCCCTGCGTAAATGGGAATCAATTAATACTGTGCTATGTAAACTGTATTGGAAGTTTGAAATACGGTACTGGTCCTTCATCTCAATCCAAATAAGGGCCGAGACACCCAAGATCATAGCAAAACCATGAAAGCAAGATCTGAGCTCCTTTATTCCAAAAGCATGAATTCATGAAAACCAAGAGAATCCACACTTCTAGTTAATAACATTCCCCACAATAATGACGGATGTCAAACTCTTGAGATTTACACTTGTGGAAGTAGTTTATCAATATAGAACATTTTATGCATAGCTAAGTTTCATGTTTACCTTGGTGCCAGGGCACTGTCGCTTGCTCATTTTGGGGAGTCTAAGATAAAGAACAGACAGTGTTGATTCTGGTAACATAAAATGAAATACAAAATCAAAATTGTGACGGAGGAAGGGGCAGTAATCATGGGACAACCTCTAGCTACCAGTGCTTACGAGTAGTACTTGAAAGACAAAACAAAGTTGAAGATACCTTAACTCTAAGATTCCACACCGGATGGCCTGCAATGTCTGGACCGATCAATTGCTCCATGACATTCAGCAAACGCTCATTGGACCACAAGTCTCGAAAGCTCTGTCCAGATAAAAAGGAGAAAAGAAAACCAGACATTATGCAATCCAAACAAATGATGCATAAAACAAATAGGACTAACAGATGGAGACAGATATGAAAAAGAAACACCGGTCCGTTTCAGTGACACATGCTGGCAACCGGGCAAACAAGAATATAAAAGCGTGCAAAAAACACTCAAAACATAATTGTGAGAAGCCATGGCAATAGAGCTTACTGGCATTACAGTACTTTTGCCCATGAAGTTGTGCTATTCTATTCTATTCTGTTCTAAACTAAATGTGCATTAACTTCGGTGAACTGGTGACTTAACCATAACATAACTGCAAGATTTCAGTTTCTTTATAATAGAGGCAAACATTCACCACAAGAAGGAAACACAGAGGGCAGATAATCAAAACCACTGCAGGGCAACGTTGTACAATGTGATATATGTCATATGATTCATATGGATTACCTGAGGAAGATATCCTGTCTTGTGTAGCAACACAGCAGCACCCGGGAACTGCTCTTCAATCAGCGTCATGCGCTGAAACAACCCAGCATCGCTGCATTTGTCTGAAACGGCAGGTAACTTATAATAATTGATAACAACTATATCGATATACGGTCATGTGAGAAAGAACGCAATACCGCAATAAAACACCTTACATAAGAAGTGCCCAAGAATTTTTTTTAGGAATTGAAAGTGCCAACAGTTTAGAAACGGTACCGTATACCATTGCACCTTTTTTGGTGGGGTTAAATGGGGATTCTTTACAGCAGAAAACAATTAGACATCGATTTTTAGAAAAAAAGATACATTTTGCCTCTCCTGACCTAAGACCTGGATACGCCACTGATGCCAAGACCGTATTCTTTTGAAAACACTAATAATGGTATAAGACATTAATTATAAATTCATTGCTGCGAGGCCACCTTCAAATTCGGGTTGGCTTCGGCATTGCCCGGAAGTATCGTCAAACATTAATTATTTGCTTTGTGTTTGGAAGTGTGACGCACAGCGCATTTCGATTTGGGAATTATGTTGGAAATTGAACTGAAGAACTGTTAAAATGGTTGGCAGAAATGGAGTCCGACTCGAGTCACAATTTTGACGATTTGACTTGACCCGGGTCACTAGGAACGAATGAGTCGACTTGACTTGAGTCCCTCATCAGACGACCCAATTCGAGTGAAAGTTGATAAGACTCGAGTTCCAAACAAGGAAAGCCTACTTCTTTGCGAAAAAAGTGCAATAACTCATAGTACCGTTTGATAATGAAAATGTTACGTGTTATTATCATCAAGAGTAAGATGTAGTGTGACCAGAGATAAATTTAAATACTTGACTTATCTCGACTCAACTTTTTGGCCTAATGATTCGACTCGACTCGGTCACTACGTTACAGTGACTAGACTCGACTCCAGTTGAAAAAAAAAGTTTTGGAATTACAGTATTACAAAAGCACGTTCACTAACATACAAGCTGAAAACTATGGCTTTCCCTTCTTTTCTTATTGAACTAAAAATTTGTGCTGCAAGAAAACTAAAGGCAAAATCGATGTGAAATCAAAGGGTAGTATCTTTTCAAAACGAGATGTGTTAAATGTGTGCCCGTATGTGTAACATTGAAGGAATTGCGAACCTTTGATCTTGCCGGCATTGTAAAGTTGGTCAACCAGACGGTCCACTTCTTCTGCAATGCCTTCTCTTACGGGATCCAGCTCAAATGGTTGGAAGAAATCAGGAATGAGAAGATATCCCTGTTAAAAAGTAACGTTTATTTCTAAAGTATTAACTTTAATGGTACTGTCACAGTGGACGCAAAATAAGAGAGCAACAGAATTTCCGGGTAAAACATTTTTAAAATCATTTTAAATTCTACTTCTTCGTGTTCCCTCCAAGTATCAATCCACGAATCCTACCGTAAACAAAAGTGTGTGTCCCCTTTAGCCCTGTTAACTTTTGGCACAGAGCAGTATTGCCTAAAGTTTTCCTTTGCAGGTCATGAAAATTGGTGCACAATAATTATTATTCATCAACTCAACGAGGGCACGGCTGGAATTGTTTTTTTATCTTCGCTGGATTTTATCACCTGTAGGGTAACAGACGTAGTCACGGGGCATATATGCCCCTCTGTCGAGGACTGTGCTTCCCCCCGTTTGCCCCATAAACGCTATTTCGAAAGATATGGGGGCGTAACCTTGATCAGAACTCTAATGCTATTGCGCGAAGCGCATCGCGGTAACAGCCTGACGTCCACGTCCCTGGAACTGATGGTTCTTGATGTTTTGTGGTGCGATCAACCATTTTTAGCAAGTACGTGTACTATCTTGGAAGATTTACTTCATTTCCACGTAATTTTATCTGAAAGATGAATCAAATATAAGCCTTCTTTCCCCGCATTTTTGTTATTTAGGGTCTGGAAAAAATGTAGACAGGACAAATGATGTGATATCTTCCAAACTTTGAAAGTTGGGGGGGGGGACCCCGTCTCTCACTGATTGACACCCATGCAGGTAATGGTTGATTGCAACCTCTAAAGGCCTGGTCATTAGAAATTTAAATACAATGCCTATGTCTATTTGAAGTATTGCCCCCCTCTCCAGACTTGACAGATTGCATCCCCAGGTCATTTCCAGGCTTTCTGTTAGCATCTTTAGCCCATAGAGTACTTGGGAATTAAGCTACGTCGATGCTCGCCTTTCGTCAACTGAAATCGAATAAGAATAGGCCTAAGAAGGCATGCCATGTGATGGACTGCGAATGGCAGTTGAAGATTATTTTAGTAATATCACATTAAGCTCCCTAGTAATATAAGTAAACAACCGCGGTAGGGTTTGCACACACGTACCTCGTCGAAGTAGCGTTTGAGTTGATCGTGTGTAAGCTGGCCAGGCTTTTTCGCCTTTGGTTGTGGTGGAATGGTGGTATACAGCTCAGGCTCGGCCACACAAGGCTCCTTGCCATGTTTGGACCTCTTCTCCTCTGGTAAATCGCCTAGTTGACTAGAACGTTTCCTTGTGTTCATCGGCATTTTTGTGACAAAGCCAAGCTAGTGTAGCTCGCTGTCTCTACTAGTATTAAACACACTTTTACGAACAGACAGACTGGCAGCGGACCTTTTGCATTATCTATTCAAATCAAGCTTCAACAACCGCTTGTGATATTGAGGGAGAGGTAGCAAATCGTCAAGGTGGTCGATATGTTATTAAAGGGACCTAGCTGTCATCAGTGTTCCATTTTGAAGTAAGGAGACTTCGGTTCGAAGGTCAGAATTTTGCATGGACTATTGTTATTTTATGACCGTATAGGACTACTACACAATCATGTAACTCTGTCCACTGTAGCTCACAGTTAGGCTATATTAACACTGCAGCCTTGGACTTAGATTATTCCACGGTACAAAGTGGTTTAAAACCATATTTGACATAGACATCAGTCGATATCAGGACAATGAAGGGTCCAAATTCCTAAAAAACAAAACAAACATGTTTGAACATCATCTCCAAATGTAGAAAACTAGGTTGAAAAGATTTAAACCGGAGAATTTACCAAACTGGTCAAAAACGGGAACAAAATCTAAGAGAGGGCGCTACTTATGCATAGCGCCCTCTTCAGCTGCATAAACGTTTGCACTGTTTTTTCTGCTGTACCGGTGCGATATCAAAACAATATTTGTTGTTGATCAGAGGTTAAATCAAGAATAAACAAAGTTTCAGTGATTTGTGCAAGCATTTTTCATGGCTGTTTTTTTATTTTATGTATGTTGGTTTCGTACCCCAATTTAAAGACCAGTCAAATTCTGAAATAAATTGTTGAGTTTACAGTTTGCCAATTACGTCTTCATGAATGGAATAACTGCTGCAGTTCATTTTGCCTTATCGAGGGAAGTAATTAAACGATTTGATTTGATTTATTCACCATTCCACAAAATATTATTACAAAAAATAAATTAAAGAAAAGCCAACTCAAAGATTCCCAAAAGTGGAAATAATAGGGATAACGCAAAAAAGTTAGATTAACTTATTTCCATTGCAGAAATCACCTGTAAATAGCCTCATGCCAACATCAACAGTTTTTCTCTTTATGTTATATAAGACAAAGTAACTGAGTTCGGGATACTCCATTTTCCATGGGTTCTACTCACAACTCTTCTAATATCGCGTCCGGGAATTTGCGAGGTCCCACTTCATCTAAGGGAGTGGGTGTGAATATCAGCTTCAGCCTTTTTGGACAAGCTTCTGCAACAGTAATGATGATGTGTCATTTGTTTTGGAGATGACTCTTTCTCAAAAATTAAAAATAATTCATCACAGAAATTTCTTGAATGCTAAGGGGCAGTTATTTGTTCAATTCCACACATTTCTCCCTCTGTGTGCTTTTAGTTGCTTGGAAATTTACAGCTCCGTGAACTTTCCATCAAGCTGTAGTCGGCTCTAATTTCTACAGCTACAGTTACAGTAGTGCCCGATCCATCCTGTCTTTAGGTATTTATCTCATCGTTAGAGAGTTCCATCTTCCTGGCCATTGAAGACAGAAAAATGTAAAATATGTAGCTTTGCGAATTGAGGGGGTTCTTATAAGGAGTCGGATGGACCTCTGCTGGCTGGGTTGATTTCAGGTTGGAAAAGTTCCGGGAAATAAAGCTCTACTGAGTTACGATAAAGCCATTCAATGTCTGCTCTACATCACATTGACAGCTCAAGTACCTTTTGTCTGTTTGTTTTGGGGGTTTTTGACCTGACAAAAATCAGTCCAAGATACCTGTGTATCTGGCTTCCTCTGAAAAAAAAACACGCCTGGTTAGCTAAACCAGACCCTCTGCTCGCATACTGTGCTCCACTCCCGGTCAAGTTTACAAAAGTAAAACTTTGTTCGTTTTGTAATTTTCTTGGGCAAGACTTTTCCTCAACAATGCATCTCACATTCCATGCAATCAGTGGCAAGATATTCCTATTTCATCGCAGATGGGCGAATAAATCACAACTAAAAAGATATCACTTTGTCGAAAATGTAACCGTGGCTTCGGCACTTCGATATTCAATGCGATGACATCGTACAAACCGTGTGGGATCAGAGAGCAAAAAGTACGGGCACGTGTTGCTGAACTGCACGAACTATTCATTTATGCGCGATCGACAATATTTCTAGTGAAAACATCGATCGAAATTTCGTCTTTTACGGGTGCAAGGGTCATTTCCGCGAATTTACCGTGATTTTAACTTGACAAAGGATGTTTACTCTCTTGATATGTTACAAATTTATGGTATTCTACCATGGGTACTAGAAGGCACTCTTCAAAATGTCTTATCGTAAAAATTTGTTAAACAGATTTATTTTGTGCTATTTTAGTGGAGTTTTTCAGTATTATGTTGCCCGTGTCATCTAAGAATCGACCCATATCATACTCTATTCCATTCGAAGGGGTACGTCTAGGCAACATAAAAAAGCAATATTTTATATTTAAACGAAGTATTTTATTTGCCTCGGTAGATATTTTACATTGAAACAAAATGTGATCTTTTTTATTTTCTACTAGTGTTAGCTTATACATTAAAACTGTTATATCTCAGAATCAGAACACGGAATTTTTAAAATAAAGTTTTTTAGACTTAAAACTTGATTTTCAGACTCTAAGGAAGAGGTTTTTGTTGAAATTGAAAAACATAAATTAGACCGATTGTCTGGATTGTAAACCACTCTACAGCATGGAATTTCCTGCGACAAAATAAAGACACAATCCAGTGTACCAAAGATGCGGCACCTAGCGAGAGCTTTTCCCAAGCGTCCTGAGCTACGATTGAAGACCGTCATACTCATAGGAGTGTTTTGTCTCCTAACAGAGGCGTAGCCACCGAAGGAGGTGTGGTGTTTGAAAAATAAAATAATCCACTCCGAATAGGAACAAAAGAGGGTGTATTTTGAAATGATTCACACCACACCACTGATTTATCTCTACACAGATCAGTGCACATGTTCACACCCGGCCCCCTGCACTTTTTTGTGCGTGAACAAAACGGTCACCTGATTAAGTCACATGACATTCTCCCATAACTCATTGATATATATATACTGTACATCGGACATGTCAGATCGTGTGTGGCGTTAAGTTAATGCCGCCACGAAAAACGTGGGACGGGATTAGCGCGGCGTTTGTCATGTGTGCTTTTTTGGCAATCACGTTTGAGGGCAAAAGTTTAACTGACTAGTACTGGACATGCTGGACGAATACGGGATAAGTGTCAACTGTCATAATGATGTCTAGAGACAGGGATCTAGAACTTGCTTTGAAATTACAGGCGCAATTCGACGAGGAAGCAGTACGGGAGATAGCAGAAAATGAGCAACCATCCACTGGCACCGCGTCGACGGCGTGGGCATCATCAAGTTCAATTGATGAGCATGATGCGGGATTCGGAGAATATGGCAGTGTATCACAAGCTGTAAATCCGAGCCTAAAGCAGCCAATGTCCATTGTAGATGAGCGGTGGGAACTGTTGGACCCTAACCCCGACATGAGAGCCATGTTTCTGGAATTCAATGACAAGTATTTTTGGGGACGATTGGCAGGCGTCGAAGTCAGGTGGAGTCCACGAATGACCTTGTAAGCATTACCAGAACGAGAGGAAATATTTTACTTTAATACCCCCATCAGAATTAGTCAGGAAGACCAACATCTTTTTAAAATAACTATCCAGTTGTGTTCAGATTATACAGTTAGAACAATCTGCCATTGATAGATTTATTTCAATAAAGCTGGTGAAAAATTTGACAGAAAGGAGGTAGACCTAGGCCCACATGATGTAATCATGTACATCATGTACTGTAACCTCCAAAACTGTGGGGTCTGACGTGCGCCCCACTCCCATGAAGGCGGGCGTTAGACCCCACAGTTCTGGGGTAGTAGTACCCCAGAACACTTTGAGTTACCACATTGCCGAGAATATCTAATATAGAAAGCCAGAACTTTCTCCCCCCTCTATTGCATAAAGACTTGCTGATGAAGGTTTTCAAATTGAAGGTTGTGCCAAGCACGTGCATGTAATTCTGAGCATGATGGATAGTTACATGTATTTTCAGAGATTTTGCTGTGCCAAACTAATACTCCCGGCCATATGATTTCTTAACATACATGTATACTGTTACGCCCCAACTATAGCATCAGTCCCAACTATAGTTAGTCCCGTCCCAACTAGAGTGCTACAGTTGGGCCGCCCCAACTACAGCAGAGAGGTCCCGCGTGCATGATGTGCCCGCCATGTGCCAAGGTGATATTGTTCACAAATGTCATGTCATCTGTCATATGGCTAGAGGAACAGATGAAGTCCCCCATTTTAGATGAATTGTGTCAAGTGTGACACACATTGACTTGGATAATGTTGAGACTTGAGACATTTCCCACAGACATTGGTCAACAATAGTAGGGCCAGCCCAACTGCAGCACTACAGTTGGGACTGTATTATTGGGACTTATGCTTTAGTTGGGACGTAACATTACCATTTCTTTAAAAAAAATCACTATGTAGGAAGAGTGAGGGTTATCCACCCCATTGCTAGATGTACCACCCATTAGGGAATACAGAGGGATTGTTGTGACTTCAAAAGAGGGAAAAGTGAGATTTTTTTGGTAGAACATCCGAGCTGGGGTTTTTGCATGGTAAATCTGTGTTTGGTTAATGTACATGTACATGTAGGCTTTTTGCTTGAATTTGATTTGAATAAACTTCTGCTTATACATATATGCAGGTTCACCTGCCCAAATGTACTCTTCTCTACATACGTGTATAAACACAGTTTACCCTATCTGCATGAGCAGTAAGGTCAGTCAGAGATGTATTTTGTGGAAGACTTAGAATTTTTATACAGTTACATGTACTTATTGGGAATTGAAACAGGAGAAATTTTCTCTTGAAATGCTACATGTACAGTGTAGTTCTTCGTTACTTTTGCAATGTTTTCCAACAGGTGTGCAGGTTTATGCTGTTATGAGGGGCATGGAGGACTGTGCTCCATTCGTTTGAGTGCCCCATTGTTGAAACTGAGACCAAGAAAAGACTTAGTGGAAACATTATTGGTGAGATTGTGCCCTTTCCTCCCCTCACCTTGCTCTGCCTCGCCCTGCTGTGCTCTTTCCAGCCCTGGTTTAGTCACAGTTTACATATTGGGCATGATTGGCAAATCTTAATCTTGATCTTGTTGCACAATTTGCAATAATTCTGTCTTTAACCTAGTCACCTTTTCCTTCTGCTTTGCAGTTGTGGAAGTGTATTTGGGAAAAAAAGGGAAATAGGGTGGGACATTGCGTACATCATCAACTGATAGTGCAGTGCAATCATGCTGATACTGACATACAGTACCAATCCAGCGTGGCCTCTCAACTACATGCAGATCTGCAAAGTCTTTGTTTGCGCTTGGCAAATCGTACATTTGTCATCATTCCTTTACCACTGGATTTTATCACTAAACGTGAAGAAAAACCTTACCCAAGATGTAAGCAATGAATAAAATAAGCAATGAATTTATCATTAAATTGTGTCCACTCATTTTCCACCTGTGCAGCACGAGATGATCCACGCCTATTTATTTGTGACCGCCAATAACAGGGTAAGACAAAATTATACATTGCAATATTGGTAATTTTCTCCATTCGAAGGTGTTGGGCCAAAGTTTAATTACTGTAGAACTGTACTTATATTGAATAATTGGAAATTATCTTTGAAAATTGTATTCTCACAGGATCATGATGGACATGGACCAGAGTTCTGCAAGCACATGAACAGATTGAATCAATCCACTGGCACAAACATTACTGTAAGTTCTGTGTCATTAACAAATTTGGGTTCATGAGTTTAACCCACCATAAAGAACTTGCCTGCATTTGGGTTTACGAAATCGTTGTGCCCAAAATATGATGCCATGAAGGCTCGGCAGTGCTAGTTAAATTTATTTTCCGGTCATTTGTTACTTGTCTGATATGAGATAGCCCTAAGTTGAAGATCAGAAATCAAGTAAACCCAAGTATGGAAACATTATTTGATGTACAATTTACAATCAAGCTTTCATTTAGTCAAAGAAACTCAACTCACAGGTGGGATTTTACTAACAATAAACCTGTGAGTTGTTTAAAAATGTAACAAAAGAAATAAACCATCTGACTGTGGCATTGTGTGTAACAGAAAAGGAATTGAAGCCCCCTTTCTTACTAAGTAATGCCCATGCATCCTGGATTGTAATTTTGGTTAATTTCATAGCAAAAACATGCAACCATTCTTGTTTGGCTTCAATCAAAAACTGTTGTCGGTCCAGATATACCACAACTTTCATGATGAAGTGGATGTGTACCGTCAGCACTGGTGGCGCTGCAATGGACCCTGTCAGAAACGACCCCCGTATTACGGAATGGTGCGCAGAGCCATGAACAGGGCACCATCTAAGCGGGATCCCTGGTGGGCGGAGCATCAGCGCACCTGTGGGGGGTCGTATACCAAGGTCAAGGAACCTGAAGGATACGGAGTCAAGAAAGGAACTAAGCGGAAGAAGGCAGATGCCGATGAGGACGACATTGAAAATGGTGAGAGTTTATGAACCCTGATGTTGAAAAATGTCACAGACGGATCTCCATAAGTCCTCCTAAGCAGTATAACATGGCTTCAGGCATTTTTTTTTTTACATAGTGGGTAACATGATGAGTACGGTGCATGTGTAAAAATGTACCAAACGTATCAGCAAAAATATGGAGCCCACTTATTCACGTGTCTGTCCATGGTAGGAGTTGTTAATTCCACTGGGAGCAGGAAAAAGAGGTTGTATGTTTGTATAGCAAAGGTGTCTCATTGGTAGGGACACCAATGCTGTGTGCGTGCACCCATCTATTCTTGCTTGGTGTAAGACAAGTGGTATTCCTTTTGAACAAGGACTAGACTAATTTTATTGTCTTGCCACCCATGAAATTAAAAAACATTACATGTACCTCTCTTAGGCTGCATCTGAATCTCTTGTCTAGAGCTAGGTCAAGGTCTTCGCTCCATTGGAAATGTGTGGCGACGTGCAGATAATAGACCTAGCCGTAGCTCTGGAAGCCCGTTTTGGACACGGGCTTAGGTGTGTATTGCTTTAAATTGTGGTGTATCACTGTTATTGATGTAATACATACTGTAGTGAATTTACAAGTGTCTTTGTTTTTGAATCTTGCATGTTAGATACAAAGAAGAGGGCAACTGATGATGTCCCAACTTCATCATTTCCTGGTAAAGGTTTTAGAGTTGGAGGAACTGGCTCCACATCTAGATTGGTGCCACCCAAAATGGCTACCTTGGACAAATTCCTGAAGAAGGTTGAAGGTCCAAAAAAGTCTCCAGGGCAGCAACCTCCCCAGTCATCTCCTGCCTCAAGAAGCCAAAGCGAGGAGGAGGTGGAAGATGCTAGCCAAGTTAACCAGTCCAAGAATGCCAGACTGAGAGCCCTTGCAGCGATATTTGACAGCGATGATTCGGACGAGGAGGACATTGTGATTGTGAAGTTTGACAAGCCCCTCAAAGAGGCACCCTCCAATGGATTCCAAATCGGGGAGACCTCCACTTCACACAGCAAAGCTAGGTCCTCTCAGTCTGATGGTTGTCACGCCTATAATTCTGGTCTTCCAACTCAAAGCAGCTCGCAGCATGCGGATAGCTCACCCACCTCGAAACCAGAAGTGATCAGCCAACCTGATGCCGCATCCAAAACCAAAAACAGTGGTGCATCCACTTCCAAGGGAGCCAGAGAGGATCATGGGAAGAAACAGGACTCCATCATAGATGCCTTCAGTCGGATGAGACAGCAGTCAGGCAAAACTGACTATGTCCCCAGAGACAGTGAAGCAAACGAACGACACCAAGATGGATCTTTTACGAGAAACACTACAAAGAGCACTGAACAAGGAGAAAGTAGAACACCTGATAACGAGATGGTCAACTGCCCTGTTTGTCAATGCAAAGTCGAACGGTCCAAAATCAACCAGCACCTTGATCAGTGCTTATCATGACAGAGGTCGAGGGTGTGACTATTTGTTGTGTGAAGGAAGGATGATTGCACTACAACTTTTTTTTTCTTGCTTCAAGGCATGTCTTTAAATGTTAGTTTGAACAATTCAATACATTTATCAGTACCTACGAGTGGAAGCTGTAAAGTCATAGGCTCCATACATGTACATCACTTCACTTAATTTTATTGCTCAAAATGGACTCTCTTAGTTTTCTTTGACTGGATTAAAAAATTGTCTTTCACCTGTTTATTCAAGCTGGGAAGAGAGAGTAATGCAAGGCTTTCATTTCAAAGACAAGAAACCTTCCATTTTATTTCCAAATGTACATGCATAAACATGTGTATCAAACATTCTCAAAGACTTCCCAAATGGTATACATGTACGTATTTCCACCCAAAATGGGAAAATGTAAGTTTTCTACAAGTCAGTTCATTACTCATCACATGAAAATTTTAGACAGGAGTACACGCATGTGTAGATCATGGTTTCTAGGTGACATTTTTACATTGTGCTGTATATATTAAAATGAGGAAGAAACAGTCGTCAGAAATAAAAGAGTGACCATCGCTTAAATTTGAATGATGTGAGATGATGAATCCAGGTTTAGGGCAATATCAGTTCGACTTCATGGTACATGTATCTTCCAGTGGCAGATAAGATGACCGCATTTGGAAGAAAGAATAGTTCTTGTCATGTGACAGAGTATTTCAAATTGTATACTTTATGCAAATGCAGCTGGCAAACCTGTACAAGTACGGGCCTAGCTGATGGTGACAAAACCCATGAACCTTTCTACAGAGCTGAAAATGTAATAAATGAAATTGTAACTGTTGAAAGGCTTTATGTGAGCAGCTGCTCTAAACAATGCTTGCATGACGGAATGACAAAGACTGCATTACACTGTAAATCAAGTACTGCCGTTTTTATTACCATCGGCAATGTGCCTACAGGTTAATTGTTACGTATTCAAAACTTAAAACCCTGCACAAGAAGAAGTATGGATGAGGAAGAGGGATTTGGGAAGGAAGGAGTGGGTGGTGTAATGCAAGAATTCCTGTCACAGTTCATTTGAATAGCTTGGGATATCAGGAGACACTGGATCAACTGGTTATGGACCAGCAATTACTGTGATGACTCACTCGATTATAACTCTTAAGAAATTTTATGTTGTATATCAGGTTTTCACTTTTACATGTAAGTACTTTTTGTACTATAAAATACATTTACTCTGCATTTAAGAAGAGATTATTATAATAAAAGTTTTAAAAAGCATAAGATTTCAAGTGCCCCTTTCTTTTCCTGTTTTATGCAGCGATACTTACATGTATGTATATAACTTTGACCTAGAGTGTCATGCATGCATGCAATGTTACATTTGTCCTTTTAAATGTTTACAAGGGGGTCCCATTCCAGGATGGGGGTAAGTTGCAGGATGGGTAAAGCATCAACAGTGGAGGGGAGGGAGTCATTTCTGAGGCATTTCACAGAAGTACATGTGGCCAATTTTATACTCTCTATTTTCCTTTTTTTTAACTTTTTGATTTTCTTCAATACTGTCCCTTGCGACATCCATGCCCGTGTTGAATTCTGATTTTCCTCGCGTGAATTTTTTGTTGGGAGGAAAACCTATAACTTTTGCTGAAATTCACACACAATCCACACTTAATTTTGAAAAACTGAAAAGAACTCTACTAAATAATACCATTTACAGAAGAATAAATAGGAAGGGAACAAATGTTTTCCTGCATATGTACTTACACAACGTTAAAATGCAAGTCTACATAGAAGAGCACACTTTGAGGAAAATGAACTGTGGAAGAAACCATCTCAATGCTATAAATGTCTAAGTTACTAGTGCCCAATGTACAAGTGTCATTTTTGTAATATTTAGAAATGTCTCTAAAAGCATAGAGTGAGGATTTAATAAAAGTAGAAAGTTTCATGAAACTATATGAATAGTGCAATAAATAAAAGAGCACAGAAATTAGTCTCATCTTATTTTGAACACAACAAAAGATTTTTACACCAAAATACCATGGACAAGCATAACATGTATAAGAATGCATATACAGGCAAAAGGCAACCCGACTTGAAAACATTAGCCATATATACATTTACATAAACATACACGTATGTACAGTGTATCTTCCTGTGCTTAGCAGGAAGGAGAAGCTGTGGCTTGGTAGTCTTGTCTCAAGGTTGCTGCAATATCGGAGGAGTCAAAGATCTATTATTGTGGACCTTTCTCAATGAAATGAAAGTTCTTACTCTGTACCTGCCCTTACATTTGCAGTACCTTGGGAGGAAAAAAAAAACAGTCCAACACATGTAAGTAATATGTACATCTCTAAAATTTGACCTGTTCTAGCAGAATCACATTCAATACAACTTGTGAAATTACAAAAGGATGGGGAAAGCACAAAATCAGATACAAACTTCAATGTACAAAATTCCATAGGGCTGTCCATGGGGCATAGCTAACTTGCAAATGGGGTAGGTCAATGAAATCAAAAGCTGCAGTTAAACATTGTTGGTTTGTCCTGTCCTCAGAGGTCAATCTACTGTCCTCAGTGGTAAGTGCCTGTGCTTCGTCTATGGGCATGTAATACCCTCTCCTCAGTGGTATATAGTCACATGTAACTGTATGCTCAGTCCTTGGGCCAAAGTGTTGTGAAAGGAAGAAAGGGAAGCATGGGCATGCATAAAGTGCGCAGAATTCTTGCACTTGAGCTCCAGTGGACTGCCACAGGTGGTCATCAACTACAGGACCCCTGTCCAAATAGAATCCATTTTTCTAGCAAATGACTTTAGAACTTTTGGCCTTTCCCAAGCATGGCTTCTTGGAACAATTTTTTTTAAAAAATCCCTTTAATCGTTGACACTACATAAGTTTGGCACAATTTTCTTTGGCTTCCCATCAGGCATTTTCATATTCCTGATGCACAATATCAAGTTGTGCTGAGCCAAACATTGCCAAAGTCGGAGCCTACAGAACAGGCATACCCCACGACGGAGACGAATCTGAGGGTTGAGAAGGGTTCTTTGGATCATTCCAGGGTATGGATACTGGGCAAACAATGAATGCCCACAAGTCCAAAGTGCTTCACTTACATGTAGTTCTCAATGGTATTTAGATATGCAAGAATGACTGAAAGCTGTGGAATACGTGAGCCTGCAGTTCATCTGTGAAAAGACTAGAAATCCTATGCAGCTGCTATTTCAAGTTATACAAGTATGCAATAAAGAATTCTGATCAATTCAAGGAAGTTCCAAACTGCGCAAGATTTTGCAGATTTTTGTTTTCAATTTACAATAAAGAGGATAGGAAAACAAGGAAATCAGCTGACAAATCTAGCCGCTATGGCAACAGCACACACAGCTGCCACGGATGCCCTCACTCGAGAAACACTGCTCAGGTTGCACTTGTCTGTGTCACAGCACTCCACACAGCCCCATCCTGCCCGCGACTTGTCGCAGAAATAGCGCTTCCCAAGCTGCTCGGTGGCTGCATCACACCCGTCTTGAGATGCGCAGTACTTGTCAATCCTCAACTTGCCTCGCTCAGCTGAAAGAATGGAAGTATCCACAATAATAACAATACTTGCAAACTTGATAACAATAATTGTTCTACAATAAATAATCAATATATTGATCCTTTTTACAAAGAGATTAATTTTTACATCAAGATCAATAGACTAACAGAGAGGCTATTGAAATCTGATACAATATTTAGTCCGCCCAACAAACAACCCCTTCCTCAACAATCAGGCAAAAGAAACCCACTGCAGAAATACAACTTAAAACACAGAAAAACAACTGACAAGGAGATAAAACACTCTCAATGTCTCATCTTCAAAAGATTTCAACTGAACATGCGTCCCTTTGAATGGGGACGATTTGATGACTTTGTTCCCCATCACCAGGAGTGATGAGGTCCTTAGTACAGAAAAGCACAAAAAAACACTGGCAACCACAGGCAGCAGAGAGGGGATGATTCCTATGCAGACAGGCTACGAGTAGGTTGACCATGGACTTTGAATAAGGCCTAAAAAGTGATAGTCCCTTGAGTATCGCTCCTGTTTCCCTATGTACTCGTACCTTACCGGTATTTTGATGACACGGATCTACATGTACAATTTATTTGGGGAAAATTTGAGGGAGACGTGAAATTAAATAGTAGTGAAAAAGTGTTTACTGTACTTTTAATATGGTGAAAAACATATCAGTGACTACATGTAGTTCCTTTTAAGGTGTTATTTTATTTCAAAGAAATGTTCCTCTCTTGCTGCTGTCATTGTTTTCCGCTCAGTTAATAAACATTTAGCTGTATGCTTTTATGTCCTGCCTACATACCGGCCTACATACTGAGTCGAAATTAGAGAATCTCTATGAAAATATCTATAAAGAAATTTAACCTGGGACTGGGACTCAAGCCCGATGACTCCTTATGAAAACACCTGGATATTTCACAAGTCCTTTTGCCCAACCATGTGGGTTCCTTCTAACTATCCAAATCCCAAGTTCTCAGATCATTCTGTAACAGGTTTTCCGTCTCCATTCCTCCTGTGTTACATTTAACTGTCAACTTATAATAATTATCAGTAATTTCCTAACAGGTGGAAAGGGACTCATCTGCTACAATCTATCAGCCCCATTACCTATTTGACAGGATGCTTGAGCTTGCTTGTAACTTACTTGAATAGATAACCTGTGTAAGACACCGGTCTTCTGTAGATGGGCATGTCCTTAAGACTGGTGCTTCGTTGATTTTGCAGTTCTCATTGGTATCCTCAGCAGCACATGTATAGCACTGTAGACTGTACACTAAAACCAAACCATGTGGAAACACTGATTTGAGGCCAGGTTGGGGGGGAAATCTTCATGTGTCAGGCCAAAGTTGCCAGCAGTTGTTCTCAGCTGAAAGTGGGTTGCCAATACATGTGGCACATTGCTTATCATTACAGGCGTAATGCTTCACCCACAGCTAGATTTGTAATACTCTGAATGGCCGTGAACTGGTCCCATGACATTTTTGCTATCGGTGCACAACATAAAGAACTGCAGTATACAGAAGAACTCTCCAGCAATCTCTCTGTTAATACTTTGTTTACAGATTAGCCAGAGCTGTGACTTCTACCAAGTCAGCTACTGTGTCAGCATGGCCAGTTATATGCTAATTACAGGGCCTAAGGGATTAGGCTCATGTTTATTAGAGGGCTTGAATGTGATTAATAATGCACCACTTGGATGGTGATTCTCTTTACACATAAAACATGTAAAAGGCATTTTCCTATAAAAAGTGTTGGATTCTGGGAACAGTCACAAACAGTCTGAAATTTGAACATTTGAAATTAAAACAAATCGCCCTGGTATACAGGTGTATGTCTTACCAGTGTGTATACAGATCAGTAGCGAGGCAATAAACAGATCCAACATAGAGCACCACATCACTGAATGATATACGGAGGCCACACGGCGCCCTGCTAGTGCTACTGCTACATGTAGGTCGCAATCTTTTACTTTCAAAGTCAGACTAGGCCTACATCATCATCATGATCAGGATGCAGCCTGCAACTAGGGTAACTCGTTGTGACGCCTGACACCAGTTCCTGTTAATGCCAGTCGACGCTTGTTGGTGTTTCTGGTGGGATCTTCAGCTTAAATGTGAAGATTCACTTTTCATTTGAAAAGAATACAAGTTACTACCTAGGCATAAGTTATCCATAAGTTGCGCTATTTCCTTCCTACATGCTTCCCCGGCCCTCCACGCAACGCGTACGTGCGCCGAAGTAAAAATAAAAAAAGTAAGCTCTTGAGGGCGCTTTCAAAGGCTCACGATCCTCGCACTTCACACCAGCAGTGGCAGTGGGTTGTCTTGTAGTTAAATTCGGCCTACCACTTCAAATATTGACCTTTTTATAACGTAAATCACCATGAAACCAGATCAACACAAGAAAAAACGGAGTGCTCAGTATAAGAGAAAGCATGGCCAAGCTCAAAAGGCAGAGGCCCCAAATAGGCCAAATTCATCAAAGTCGAACTTGTCGAAGGCTGCTTCTGAAATTCCAACTCCAAGTTCATCGTCCGCTGCAATCGCAAGCAAATCGAGAGATGCCTTCTCCACCAAAGAATCAGTTCAGTATGGCCAAACAGAATCGCAAAGTCACAGCTCATCATCACAGAGGTATCTAAGCAATGGCTTTACACAAGACGAAGCTGAGGTAGGCCTACGCTTGTGCTTTCTATAATTGAAATTTTCCAGACACGTCAGGAAAATTTTCCATTTGCCTGTCAACACTTGCGCCAACGGCCAAACGCAATGCACACGCATTATGTTAATCATGGAGTCGATTTCTGTTTCTGTGAAAGTAAAATGCATGACAGCATCCTATATGCAGTACACCCAAAAACGTAGGCCTACATATGGAAAAGAGCCTTTAAGATTTAAGTTGAAATGCAGTGTACTAACTGGGTGAGAGTTCCATTACACGGACATCACTGATGGTTTATGAGCCATCAAAAAGTGATATAACATACCCCAAAAAGTCAAATTTAGCAGTGAAAATAGTGAATCATTTACTTAGACAACAACTCTAGACTAGACTCCCATAGGGTTTGTGGCTTTACAACCACATTGCTCCATTGCCACTTTGCCCCAATGCCATGATTTGGCCCAATCCCACTTCACCAAGTTCACGGCACTTCACCCCAATGTAAGCTTTAACGTCTGTGAGTTTAGTTTTAACCATAGGGTTTTAACCTACTGGTGCAGGTTGCAACGTCGAGAGTATACATGTACATGTATCTGCCCAGCTAAACTAAGGGTTCAAATTCAGACAGTTTGCCAATGAAAGTGAAAAACACGATCATCCCATCACAGAGTCACCTCAAATGGCCAGGCAATAGGCCTAAATGCAGTGGACTCCTTGGCTTCATAAGGAGTGAAGTTACGCTGAAATTGTCATTGCGTTACCTGCATGTAGTTTCACCAAAAAATTGATTCTCAAAACTTTGGGGTTGCTGTGATTGTTGACTATCAAGTGAATATAATTGCTAAAGCAGAATGAAAAGGGGAGACATGCATTTTAATTTCTGTCTTTAAAAGTCAAGTTTGGTTGAAATCAGATTCACAAAAGATGGTCTAGTGGCTCAAATGAAAGGATTGAAATGGAAGAGAAGACATGTCATCTTGGCCTATGGGGATCCATAGGAGACTTCACGAGAAACTTTGATGAAAATTTTAAGAAGTGATCGTGTTTCTTTCCTTTTTTGCCAATTTTATCATCAAATCCATTGTCATGTGATATCAATCGGCACCACAAGAAAGGCAGTTTGTGCTGGAGTTTCCACCTTCAAGCACAGCTGGGGTAATGTGGGGATGGAGTGAAGTGGCAACGGGGCAAAGTGGTAAGGGGCGAAGTAACATAGGGCAAAGTGGAAATGCTGTGAAGTGACCGACGCGCAGTTTGTGCTCAAGGCGTCAAGTGATGTCCTTATGGAACTTTAGTTATGTCACTTTGGGTACATTAACTGCAATCAAAAATTCCTCTTTCTTAAGCAAATCTTTTCCCCCCAAACCCGTCCAAACTTATGCATATCTCTTTAAATCTTATGCTTATTTCTTTACAAAAATCAGAGCTTTTGGGCACCACCCTCTCATTCTCATGACAAAATCGATCCAAACACATTGCGCACTACGTTGCCTGCATCACACAGCGCGCGCGTCGTGTCCCCACCGTCCTACTTACTTGGCACAGCATGCATGGTAATCTCTAGGTTATGGTTGCCTTGTGTAAGCTACACTGTACGTCTGTGTTTGTTTCACATGGATCTAGATCACAATCAGTGATCCATTGTTGGTTTACGGACACCGAAAGTTGCCTAATGAATGGTGCGAACCAGCGTTAGAATCACTGAGCAAAATGCAGATCTGTGGGAGTCAAACAGGCCCCACATTGATCCTACCCTCAGGCACTTTGTGGACCCAACCAGTATGAAAAGAAAGTGACAAAATCTATCATGGAATAATTATTAAACCAGGTTTGGATTTAAATGTGGCTTCATGCATACGGTACTTCTTGTTAGGCAAACCTACAGCCTCCAACATGCCTGCATTCATAATGGGCACATTTTCAGAAGACAAATTTGCTGGTATTACAGGGGGTGAGATGCTTTTCGAGACGGAAGATTGAAAGCAACTGGGATCGCTACGAACCACTGGATGATGATGGAGATGAGTCGTGTAACTATGATGGATTGAAGGGAGCCGACTTCAAGGCACTGCTCAGCCAAACAGGTGAGCATCCTGCCCTTCAGCTTTGGACCAGTTGTGTTCAGGTACCTTTGTATCTTGTGGAAGACTTGAAAACTGCCACAAGCTGTCAATCCTCTCACAAGTAATTTTTTGACCTGAATGCGTGTACGGTACCTGTGATTAAGTTGTGAGGAGCTCTTAAGAGGAGCTCTTAAGACCTGTGATGGACTTAACTACAACTTCACTGCCAGATACATGCACTTGAGATGCACAGACAGGTCAATCAGTCTTCATCAGTTTGTACTCTGGGCAATATTAAAGACTTGCCGATTCTTGGCATCCATTATTTTCATGCACGTAGCTGATCAGCCAGCACATATCCACTTTGTTCACGTAAACCCTGGAGAGTATTTTTTGCATGTAAGTATACCGTAGCAGATATTCTGATTGGTTAGTTACAGATGAAGAGTCTTTGCCTGCGGTACAAAAGTCCCCAAATGCCTTTCACCCAGTGTTGTAGTCAAGTTCTTTTCAAATGCCAAGGTTCTTGGCCAGATATTGAATGTGGTAAGAAGGAATAAAGCTGGAGTACATGTATACCCTATACCACTTGCTGATGGTATTATTTTGGGCCGAGAATTTCAATTTTTGAGAAAGGAAATATGCATGTCTGACCTCCAACTTTAGATAGACAGCAGGAATGCCACAGATTCTGATTTGCAAGTCATTTGCACTGTACATGTATATTGACTTCTCATCATAATCTTTAATGTTTCAATCCCTTGGGACACACCCACGGAGCACTTTGCTGTTGAACAGGCTGTGCACAGCAGCCAAATTCAACACTCAGTTCACCTCCATAAATTTCTTGGACATTGTGTGTGTTCACATCTAAAGGGGGAGTGGCTCGGTCAGACGTCATCCGGAGGTGTTCCAAGGCAAGCTTGATGCTACAACCTGTCATCCGTGCCTGTGTGTTCATGTACAGATTGCCAGTGGCAGATCATGTTGACATGTCCTTTCACCCTAACAGTTCTGCTTAAAATTTGGCTTGCAGTACTCAGTACTACAAAATACTAAGCAGTAGTCTGAGCCTGAAGGACCTAGCGCTACAAATCACTACTTCTGGCTAGGGCACCCTCCATTGTTACTCATACAGAGAACAATAAAGTCGTGCATTCATAGTGCCAGAGCACTGTATGGTACATTGTCTTCTCTATTGTATTTTATGGCTTCAGAGAACAATAAGGTCATGTCCTCTTACAAGCAACAGCACTGAATACAACATTTTAGTACTAAGTAATACTTTGCAGTATTCGGGGCTCTTCGGGTTAACTTTTCCTTGCCCACATTTGTTCCTCTCATTTGTGAAACAAGGGAAACTACACTTTTCTTTCATTTCAGTTAGGCCTATAATAATGCAATATGGGTTTATGAGATTATATCGATAAATTTTACCTCTAATTTCTTGGGTGCAGGAGATGCTTCCAGTCAGTTCCGCTTTAAGGATGAGCAGCTGTGGGATGAAGAAGAGTCAGACCTCAGACAGGTACCGGTCAGAGGATGCCAGATTTGTAGGTTTGTCAGCCTCATACCCAGGGCTGTGCTGAATTTCCCAATAACCAAATATTTGACCGATTCTCAAATATTTGAATGTTGTTTTCCAGATGTGAATATTCGAATGAAAAATTCATGAAAAGGAAGGGAGAATTTTCTTTTGTTTTAAAGGGGAAAAATTGCACTGTGGAGGCTTGTTTCAAGCAGATTCAAATGTAAAGCGACTCAAAAAGTTTATTTATAAATGAAAACATTTAAAAAAATAAAAATTTTCAACAGAGCAAGAATTATTGTTCGTCTCTGAAATCTTGCTAAACCATGACTGGAGATTCTCCCACACCTGGGAAGCTATTATACTTATCAAACTGTACATGTACATTGTGTGTGTTATTGCAACTGATTTTGTATGGTTTAATCTTCAACAATCTGCCCGTCGGTAAGACCAAATCTTCTGATATTCGATCAAATTGAAGGTCTAATATCTTAGAATAGTGAATTATTAGAATAGACCTAGCCCTACTCTAAAAACGAAATCACTTGCAGGCCTCGTGGTTTGAGGTAAGTGAAATTCAGATTTGAATTGTTGAGGGTGGGGGGATATCGGTATGTCCCATTGGTTAGGGTTTGTGACTTCTACTCATTGGTTAAGGGACTGAAATCCAGCAGCTGTTAACATGTTGTGACCTTGGGCAAGTCGCTTGTCCCCTGCCTGCCTCGCTTTACCTCATTAATAGTAATCTGTGAGTGTAGGCACCATACACTTACATGTATGAAGAACTGTTTATTGGTATCCTGATGAATGTGGTAATAAGTGCAGTCAACTCGCGTCATTCTCATCATGGTGTGGCAGAGACCAGACAAAATGTACTTTGTTATAACCAGGATTTTGTTGTACATGCAAAAGGAGAGAGAAAGCAAAGAAACACACCAGAATTCAAGAGATTGGGGTTCATTGACTTTGCTCTTTGTAAAATCTTTTGTTACAACAGTGTCCTTTATATCGAAAGTTGGCTTTGAATAGCCTTGACATGTACATGTACTTCATCAATCTTGAATTAACACTGCTTTTCAAACATTTCGTAGCTACAGTTTGGCTGCTTATGTACAAGCTTGCTCCAACTGCAAGTACATGTATGCGTACATGTGCATTTAGGTCGTTCTAAAATTTGGGACTAGTGTGTGAGATTTTTCTGTCACTGTTACACCTGACCTGTGTAATTTTACCTGCGTTATCTCAGTGAAATTGACTTCAAACTATTTGTATTTGTTTGGCAGGTAATTGCATCACTTACTCACTCTTGAAAATCAAAGAATGTGTTGTAAACTTACCGAATCATATGCTAACCGTTGGTGTAAAATTGGCAGGAAAAAAATTGGACCCCAAATCTGTAGAATGACCAATGTGTAACTTGGAATTATTACTATTTTTCCAGGCTCCAGAGGGCATTCCAGCCATTGATTGCCAAGGTCTCTCCCAGAGGTTGATGGCAATCCCTCTACCAATCAGACTCAACATTGATTGCTCGTTCTTTGAGGTGGGTTCCGTGACGCATCAAATTTTGTTCTTATGAGATCCAATTCAAGTACTGTACAGTGGATATTATACTGATTGAAATTTAGTGGACATGGTGGAAAGAAGGCATGTAGCAGAATAAGAATAAGGCAGTGTTGTCTTGAGTAACAATCAGCAAGAAACGGAAGTGTGCCAAATTTTAGAGTAACTTCTAAGAAATCTTTGGTATCTTTGTTTGCCCTTTTCAAAGCCATCAGTGTTGGAGAGCTTTGATGCGCTTGCCTCCAGACACAAAGAGCGATTTGGCAGCACTCCAGGCAAGAAGGTGTGGACATCAGTTGGTGAGGATAAATCATCTCTGGTACCAGTAGCTGGTGATCAGGTCTTGGATACTGAAGAGTTCGACATCGTCGGCTTTGAGGCAGAGAATGATGAGGAAGTAGCGGAAGAGACTCAGACCAAGAATGGACAGACACAGTCTCCCTTGGACTTATCTGTCAGTCATTGGCAGGAGGATGTCCAACAAGTGACCCTTCCTGAGTTAGACAGAAGACTGCAAGATGTGCCCAGTCTTGCCACAGTTCATCAGGTTCCAGACATCGCGTTGACTGAGGATGATGCAGTTAGGCTGAAGAAGTCAGAATATTCAGACATTAATGGAGAAAGTGTTAATAATTCAGAAAAGACCACCATTGTAGTGAACACTTCTGGGGAAGATCCATCAACCCCAGTGCAAAGTCAGAAGATGCCGGATCTTGCATCCAACCAGCAAGAGATTCCAGCCCATGACACAAAGAATGCATCCCAAACTGGTTCAAGACTCCCTTTCAGTTCACCAGTGCCCATGCAGAAACCCCAAGCAAGCGCACCCCAGCCTTCAGCACCAAATGCTTCAGACGCAGATGACGACGAATTGAATTTCTTGTTGGCCCTGGAGAACCCTGTGCAGACGAGGAGCAAGCCAGGCATCACCAGTGGACAGCTAGACGAGGAGGAAAGGGTAGAGAGGCTACTAGATGAGGACAAGGAGAAATGCCCAAGACTACCCGACGATGGGGACGAGAAATTCAAGCCAGCGCTACCCCTTGTGAAGACTGAATGTGAGTAGTCAAACCATCAACAAAATCTGCATTTAAACTGCTGAACAGGATGTAATCTTTCATTAATTACTTGATTGTAGCTCGTATAATGGGTCAGCACTGACCGAGACTTTTTGAAAATCTGCTTCTTATTCATGTATGCAATGTAGCCAACTCTTGATATAAACAACAGTGATGGTTCAAAACACTGTTATCAAGAGCAAATTTTGAGAATCTTGCTTTCTTGAATTCTTGTGTGCTCTTTGTTGTTTCACTCTTTTTATACAAAGGCGTGGTTAAAACAAAGTAAATTCTTACTTTTTATAACGAAGCTACTGACGTTAGCAGATTTACTGTTTTCTATCATTTACAGTACATGTAGATCAGTGTCTCAAGAAGATATATTTCCCCAAACTCATATTTTGGAAATGGAATGGAACTTGACTACTTCAAATTGTCTATTTTTCTGACAATTTATTTGGTCATGGATTTTTGCTGCATTTTCAGCCACTACCTGTACCAGTAGACAGAATGGCTCAGATAGCCTAGAGGACTGGCTTGACAGTGTGCTTGGAGATTGATCTGATGTCGCCATTTTCTGAAGAAAAACATCGAAACTTGACGTTTTGGTTTAAAGCAAGATTTTGGACCTCATTGTTGATTCACGTATGATTGACTTTTTGCCATGCTGAGATACCATTCTAAATCTCTGCACAGTTGTTGGCTTTATGGGAGGTATGTCTTCCTTAATGAGGTTTCACTCTGACATTTTACAAATCTTGAGTCCGTTACATTTTTTTACAACTTTAAATGCTGTTTCTAAAGAGAGACTAAAAGCAGAAAGTTACAATGTACATGCTGTCATTCAACTTCAGTCTCCCATTGATTGTAGCATTGTCTGCGTTGTCATGTGTTAGAATTTTAAAATGAAAACACAAGAGCATTGGCGTATCCAGGTCTTGGGTCCGGGAGGATCAAAATGGAATTTTGTCTCAAAACGGTCTCAAAATGACTATCAATTTTTTTCCCCCTGTGGAAAAAATCCCTCCCCCCCAGAAAAGTAATAGTATTGTTTCTAAATGGCTGGCACTTTCAGTTCCTTAAAATATATAAAAGGATTACCAAGATGTTTACGGAGGGCAACTCGCCCTACCTCCCCCTTTCCTGCTGGATACATCAAAGCACAAGATGGCACTATTCTGGATGGGAAAGATTCCCTTTTTCTATGGAAGTGTACAAATTGCCTCTCAATCGAATATGTATTTGTGTAGTGCATTGGCATTGGTTGCAGGCTTGGGTACATTGGACTGGTAGATAACAGCAACATTTCATCCAGTCTTGATTGAAGTCAGAAGACTGCCCCTTGTCAATCACAAGTGTAAACTCCGGGCAGTCATCCATGTACTGTAGGTCAGTACACCAGATATTTAGCTGTAACAGATTGGAAATCCCAATCTTGGGGCTTGACTTGAGACTCGACGGACTTGCATGGACTCAAACGAACTTGACAACAACACAGTCTGCTTTTGGCTGCTGTATTGGCACATTCCAGCACATTTGTTGCAGTCTTTATGAGCTTCATGCACATGTACATTCTGTGAAAGAAAGGAGCCCTTGGTATGCTTTTGCACACTGCGCATCAGAATTGACAGTGAAAATCGTGACACTTTGTAAAGAGTGTGCAAAGAATGAAAAGCGCTGATGGGCGATTACATCTATAATTTTTGCTGAGTACTTAATTGATATGTGGGAACAAATTGACACATCACCTCAAAGGAGAGTTAACTTGTTGATGTGTAAGACGGCATGCTTAGGTGAGACAGGTCATGCATGTGTTGTGGATACATGTACATTTTTGCTCTTTCTCTGAAATGAAGGGCTCCTTTCCTTTCATGTTATCTTGAACAAAGTATCTAGTTCCTGTGCACACCTTAATTTCAGCAGTTCCATGGGTAAAAGTCAGTTCAAACCGAGACTTTGAAATCACCGCCTTCCTCTAGACCGCACTTTAATCTGTTAAATTGGTGTGTTAAATGTAGATGTATCAGTTTGTGCACTCGAGGAGGACAGTCGTCATCACTGACGGTCTCTAGAATCACTGGGGTCCCTGGCGTATAGTTTGTACGCAAACGTTTCTCGTTGTCATGTTGACCATTGCCAGTCCACAAAATAAAGGGTCCTGGTCATGAATACGCGTATTGCACATAATTTTCACTTTGGTGTAAGCACGCCTATGGAAAGGTCATTGCGTGATCGGTCAAATGAAAGGAACTCGCCTACACAGTAATGCCCTAGTATTGCCTTTACCGATAAGTTGCTCTTTGAATTAGATCAATTCTGCCTTATCATTGCAGCAGTAGCACTTTCATGCAGTTCTTTGAAATATTCGCGGCATGTGCAATGGCCAGCTGTTTGCACAGACAGTGAACGGATACAGAACATTTCTGATAACTGGAAGCTGGGTACATGTATTTCATGGATACAGGAGCCGTGTATCGATTGGCAGTCTCACGTTATTGATCTCATGATGAAAACTTCACAGCTGCTTTGTTTCTGTTTTTGGCAGGATGCCCAGTCCTCAAAAAAGTCCACGTGTAGGTTTGGAACATGAAAAGATGTCAGAGCGTGTTCTCGCGTGCAGTGCCACTTTTCTCATCTGCCCCGACCTGTCGATTTTATGCGGCAGTGCGTCGTGTACATAATGTTGCTTTCCAAAATTAACCCAGCCAAGATCTGTATGCACGTACATCGTGCCCCACCGTCAACTTCTTTTTTTGTGTGGGGAGGGGCAGGTTTTTCCCTCAGAGTGGAAACTCCAGCGGAAACGCATTATTGCCATCAATATCGATTATTTAATTAGAATCTTACTCAGAGATGTAAAGACTTTTTACACCACATTCGAAGAGTTTCTTGAAGGTGGGTTCCCACATCAACCAAACAGTCGGGAGTGTGTTTCAGAGGGTAGCCACCGGGGGGCACCCCCCCTATTCCTAGCGCCCCTAGGTACCCCCACTACAAAAGGGATGAATGTACATTAAACAAGGAGAAAAGCTTCCCTCCCTAAAAAAAAATCACACCGCTGAAAGCTGGTGACCTCCCGTAAGATGTTGGTCCCCCTTGTGCCCCCCCCCGTAAAATCCTAGCTACGCCACTGGTATGTTTTCGCTGGATAACACTTGAATTGTAGTCTTATGAATTATTGCTTACTTCCTGTAAATACATGTACAGTTCACGTCGGTATCTGAACTTGCATCAGTTATTAAACTGAACTGCAGTGCTACAGATAACACTTGCTGGGTGGCTGTTTTTTTTTTTCGTGTAAATATAATAACAAACTGAGATACCATTAATAATGCCCGGGAGTCGGAAATTTTGACGCGTCGTAATTGAGAGTTAAGCTTGGAACAGGTGCAGCTTGTTACTTTCGGGAGTTTGACGCGGACTGTGACACTCGAGGGAGTGAAACAGAGAATATATGCAGGCAGATTTACTACGGTAGGACGCCTCAGTGGACTGTGAAGCCTTTATTGCTTAATTTCTGGGGTTTCTTTTTGCCTATCCATTTGTACCCCTGAAATTTATGAGACATACATGTATCTGGAGAGGGTGCTTCGGTCGTGCACCCTCGTCGCGCATCCTTGGTCGAGTTCGGGCGGCCTGTTCTCAACAGGGTTTTTTTGTTCTCGCGCTCGAACGGTGGGAACATGACTCAAGAACGCCATTCTCGTAACAGGAGCACGCACCACCTCCTCGTTAGGGTTTTACTAGAACACACGGAAAAACTCGTGAGATTTTAATTTTGGAACAGCTGCAAACATGGAAAAAAGTAGAGTGATGGCTTACAAAGCCACAGACAATAGAAAATTTTGCAAAAGTAACATTAATTATTCTTCGTAACACAGAAATCAATGTTCCTGTTTAAACAGAAAAGAAATTCAGCCCAGTTATCAAAACATTAACTCTCGGATAACGTACATGGACGCCGCTATGTTGCATGTTGCTTGTGACTAACTACGAGCAATAACCGGGTGTACGTTCCTGGCATTCGAGCGGCTGACCCAAGAACAACAAATCAAGCTGTTCATGAACATACGAGAACAAGCCGCCCGAACTCAGCCATAGTGCCACCTCCAATTTTCCCGGTGGCTGTAGTGCTTATCAAGTACTAAAACCCTCAGGCAAAAACTGCCTCTACGATTAGGACACGAAGGCTCTGTCCCCGTCAGTGCGGGCCCAAGTTGTTCATTCAGCAACTTCTTGTAGCATAATTCATTGTAATATAGTGTGCGTTCTCCAGCAAACGACGCGAACTTTGTGCTGCTCATATACATGTACTTAATTTCCTGCAGGGTGCAGACCACTAATTCAAGTGAGAATTTCTGACCAGCTCATCAGCATTAAAAGTGCCCCCACAGTATCTTTTGAAAAAGGAGATTGTTTGACCCCCAAAATGGTGAGATTGTGTAAATCGTTGCCAGGATCAACTCCCTGGGTCTTTGAGCTTTCATATGAGAGCAGAAGGGCTAAAAACTACAGTTGAAAAGTGGTCCTCAATGCCCGAGAAAGTTGAGGGTTGCAATCAGACTTCGGAAAAATCACCTTTTTGGGGGTGATTTTGTTTTGTGGGAATAATTAAAAATGTATTTGGTTAACCCACAAAAAAA